TATGAACTGCCATGTGGGCACGGTGAAAGCACTGGGTTCCCTGGGCTGGAGGTATGGACTGCTGTAAACTGCAATGCTGATTACCAGAAACTTCTGTAAAAGCAGCCAATTCTTTAGCCTATGAACCATCTCTCCAGCTCCAGGTAAGTTACAGTTTTCTTTCTCTCTTTTTGGTTTCTCCAGATGGGGCTTCTCTGTGTAGCCTTGGCTATCCTGGACTCACTTTGCAGACCAGGCTGGCCTCGAACTCAGAAATCTGCCTGCCTCTGACTCCCAGGGAAAAACTAAGTACTGGGCCTACAGGCTGAAGTTACAGTATTCTTAATGCCCGTGTACAAAGCTCGCATATCACACTACACTGTGCAACTATACCTAAACTAGTGACTCTGTCTACACTACAACTAACCATGTGGGGAGGAGAGAAAATGCATCAACATAAAGCCGTCACCTCGCTCTATAGGGCTTAATCTAAATCGGTAATCCACATAAAAACAGTCCCAACACTGAGTGCCAGGCCACTTACTGGGTACTCCACCAAGTCCACAGGCTGCCTGAAGGGCTCTGAGTCCTCGCACTGGAAGATCAAGATGAGGAGAGCCTTACACTGCCTCTGCCAATCGCTGTCAAGATCACTGCTGGCTCTGCTGCTCCGTTTTCTCCAGTTGTGGACCTAAGAACATGTGTGTAGTTGTTTCAGCGTGGGTAGAAAATGAGGAGCGAGGGCATGCACAGTAAAGTGTATGACACTGGCTTAAAGGGGGGAAAAGGGAACTGAACCCTTCTGCTTTCTATAGTGCATAGGAGTCGTAGATGTTTTCCAGCTTGTTATCCAGCTGGAAAAGCCACTTTCTAGAAAATCCAATCATGTCTACGATGTGCTACACATTTTTGTAAAATGAAAAGTGTGCTCCAGTGACCACAGCACCCATCATTTAACAAGTCTGCCGACTCAAGTCTATACACCTTGTTCACAGAACATGAGCTGTCATTCTCACTTGAAAATGAGGTGGAAAAGAGCCTAGGACCACAGCTTCTTCAAATGCAAAGACCACTGTAGACAGAAACTGAAGATAAGGGCACCGAAGAAAGAACCATCAGGATTAGGTACAAGGACCAACATACCCTCAAAGGACATAGAAACTGTGTGTGTGTGTGGGGGGGGGGGGGGCGCGCCTACAACCAAGAAAAGGCAAAGAACTCCCTTGGAGTTTCCATCATGATATACCACAGTTCTGTGAGTCCTAGCAAAGCTCTACTCCACACACATGTCAACATCTGACCAGCAGAATCAAGTATGCTGTCTGCAGCAGCAGGTACAGCCACGAAATGGATAGAAGGAAGCATCCGCCAGTTCAGTGGAAATGAAGCAATGTGGAAGTGGCCAAGAGTCAAGAGAAATGCATGTCTAACTCGTCAATGTTCATCAGGACAATCAGTATAAGACAAACTGGGAAACTCATTTGTTTGGCTAGTTGATTTGTTTTGTGAGACAGACAGGATCTTACTATGTAGTCCTGGCTGGCCTGGAACTTCCTATATAAGCCAGGCTGGCCTCAGACTCAAAAGATCTGCCTGCCTCTGCCTTGTGAGTGCTATGGTTCAAAGGCCTGTGCCACCACAGGCAGAAACTTTTTTTAAACCCTTCACATCTAAGCGAAACTTGAAATGCCACGTTACCGTACTTTCCCCATTCTGTAATGAACACTCATGAATTTGCAACATGAGCCCTGAAGCTGCCGGTGACAAGCCATAAGAGTGTCAGTTTCTTAAACTTGGCTCCACGGACTTTCCATTGCCCTCAAAGCCTCCCCTTTTCAGTAAAAATCTCCACTTTACAAAATTCAGTTACCATTCAGTTACTAGTTGACATCCCCCTTAAAACATGTGTCCATTTTTTTTTTCTCTATGCCAAGAAAACACCTTCTGCGCCTGGGCGTCATCCATCTGAGGAATAAATGCTCTGGTCAGGCAGTCACCTCACAGGAAGGGGAAGCCATGAGGTCAGCGGGTCCTGCAAACCAGACCACCCAGTACACACAACTGCTGCTCCACCTACAAGCACATAAAAGTCTTCACCTCCTGCCCCACTCCACAGGTCGGACCAAAGCCCTGAAGGGCCCACAGATAAGGTACCCCACATGCGTTCTCTGTGGGGTCCTTATCTCACTCCATCTAACTGTGAGAACTCAGTTCCATCAGCAACTGAAGTAACCAGAATTTAGAACTGAAATACCCGGTGTCATCAGGGAGCTGTTCAAGGACAGCAGCTGTAATCCAGACTATACACACCAAGGTGAGCCATGCAGAGCCACTTACCCTCCTCCTTACAGGTGTCTGAGGAAGATCGCTGCCATCCTAGGAGAAACCAGAGCACCTTACTATGGAGTTCTCGGCACCTGAGCAAGAGCTGCCAGGACACCATTCACCCATGCATGCTCTCATCAAGTGCCTACTTCCATGGCTAACTGGAACACGCCACACACACGGCCTGCATTTCCTACTCATTCTTAAATTAACATTTAGTTACTGTGCCATTGTAAAGTTAAACTTCATACCAAATCATCAGCATTCTGATCATCATTGTCCGACGTGTTAGACAGCTCTGATATATTTGTACAATCCTGATTCCTAAAAGTTAAAATCAGATGAGAAAGTTACCCCTGTTAAGCACCCACTTCACAGCAAAATGCAAACAGCCCCAGCCCGGGCGACCCAACTTCACACAGAGTGGCAAAGATTTTTCCCAGTCCTCTGTCAAAATACGACTTTAATATGCAAACTTAAAATAATGGCAGTTTTTAAATATGTTCAAAATCAAGTGTATAATACAGACACAACTGATACTCCCAAGTGACCTCTCTGGGCTGAACACAAACAAAGCTATTCCTAGGTTATTAATTACAGCAATGTCGATATAGATAATACCAGGACAAATAAGAGATTGAAGATAGAAGGAAAAAGAAAACAAAACAAACCGAGTTAGCTAAATGTCAGTCATATACAAAGAAAAACAATTCTAAAAGGATCCCCAAGAAAGAAATGACAAAAATAGGCATACTTTGCTGAAGAGATGGCTCCTCAGTTAGAACCACTAACTGCTCTTGAGCAACTGGGGACATAAGATGGTCCAGACGCAGGATGACCAGTTCAGCAGCACCCAGACCTAGATCTAGAGCTTTGAGTAGGCCCACCCAAAAATGTAAATCATCTGTGAAGTGTAGTATGTGGAAGGGCCGGTCCTGGGGTTACAAAGCTGCAGGATCTCCGTGACGCAGGGCAACAGTGGGATAACTCGGAGGAGTCCCGGTGAGGATCCAGCATGGATGGTGTCACAGAAGCCAGAGACCTCGGACCAGACCAGTGACTCATTGCAGTGAACATCCCCAAGTGAAGGTGGTGAACAGAGGAGTATACAGTGGGACACACCGACACACCGCAGCTTCCAAGATGAGACTTTTCTATGCTTTGTCTTGTTTGTTGTTGTTTGATTGCTTGTGTGTTTTATTTGGGAGGGGAGGTTGCAAGGGAGGAGGGCAGATCTGAGGGAATGGGGAGATGAGTGGGACTTCAGTGCATGACATGAAACAAAGAAGCAATAAAAAGTTGGGGGGTATTCATTGGTTAAAAGCACTTGCTGCTCTTCCCGAAGACCTGAGTTTGAATCCCAGCACACACATAATGGATAACCATTATTTGTAACTCTAGTCTCAGGGGGACCCAACACCCTTTTCCGGCCTCCATAAGCACATAGCCAGTGTACCTACATACAAGCAGGCAAAATACCTATCCATGTAATAAAGCATTAAAAAATGAAGTTGAATTAGTCACATTCCTTTAATAAGATCATAACCACAAGTATGCAACAGTGTTGCCTCAAATAACACATCAGATGGGAAGAATTCAGGCAGTAAACATGAGAAGCTGAGTGGCTATTAATGTACAATACGTGAGGTCACTTACTTAATAAATCTCAGGAGCTGCTCAGTTATTTTTTTGGCTGATCTTGCAATCACACTTTCGGGTTCATTGAATGTTCTTGCATTATGCTCTATATATCGGACTTCCCAAATTAATGCAGATAACCGCCTTAATGAGAAAAGGAGCATTACTTGAAATGAAAATAACCGAAACCTAGCAAAGTTAGCATATTAACTGCATGAGACCGTGCCTTCTTTAGGACCTTATAGGTGCAAAGTTGTAATAATCTTCTAAGGTTCTAAGATTATATTGCACAATGAACTGCAAAAACTAATCTCAGTAAACTACATCAATCATACACACGCATGCTCAGAATCACGTTTTCTCTCTCAGCACAACCACCTTTCCTTTCTACCATGCCCACCAGTACCTTTGGAAGGTGTTAAACTCAACAAACGTGGCTAGGGAAGTGGCTCAGTAGGCACAGCTTCTATGTAGCACTTGCTTGCTGTGCAAGAGACCTGATTACTCTACAGCAACCACGAAAAAATCAAGTGAATGTGGCTGCAGGTGTCTTTAATTCCAGCACTAGGAGCTAACAATAACGAGATCCCAAGAACTTGCTGGGCAGTCAGCTTGTCCACACACGGAACAATGCCTGATATGTCAACTTAGAACCTGACTACACACACCTATCTAAAGACATATTAACAAGCACCACCGAACAGGATATTGTGTTCCCAAGCATCCAAAGCTCACCGTGACCACCAGCAACCTGCACATCTCTCTATGTTGGTGACTTGTAGCCTAAAGATCTTTTTGGTATTCTGAATGAGATACCTACTAACCTGTAAAATCGATTAACAAGTCTCATTCGAATTGTATAAAGATCAGTTGGATAAGCCACTACTGTGCAGTACTTTGGATATGTACACAGATCCACAGGGCCTGCAAAAGCTGCTGCTATATCTGCAAGAGAAGACAGAATTTTAAGCTTTACCTATAGGTAAGCTCATTACCTATGGATGGGTGATATTTAGACACTAAATAAACAAATAAGTAATTAAGTAAATAGATAAATACAATGAAAAAGATTGTTCCTGAGAGAGCTCCATTAATATGAAAAACAAAGAGGAATTAAGAACATAACATAAACTATCCAGTTGAAATTCTTTTATAGAAACCATGAACCTTAACCTCGTCACCTACGCAGCTCACCCAGGTTTAAGAGTTGGTCTATGCCCCTGATGATCCGCTCACACTCCTCGTCTCTTGAGCTCTGGCCCCATTCACCATCCTGAGGCTTGTAAAGCAACTTCTCCAGCTCATCTGAAGTGACAGAGATGCTTGCTCCCAACTCTTCTGGCGGATCAACTGTGAATTCCATTTTAAAGAAAACAAAAGAGTAAAAAGCTGAGAGGTGGGACTCAATTTCCAATGCTCAGTTTCAACTGGAAAAGCTTGTTAAGTTCCAGGACAGCCTGAGCTACAAAGAAAACACTTCTCAATAAGCAGACCTTAAATCTTCAACTCTCTGAAGTTATTCACTGAGATTACAAAACTGCTTGAATTGAAGTGAAAGCACAAATCCTCACCCTGGTAAAATCGGAATAGATACCATCTTCACAGTTTCATTCTAGTCCTTCAAAATACAAGGTCCTAGGCACCACTTTTTTGTATGTTTGTTTTGTTTTTCGAGACAGGAGGCTCCTCTATGTAGCCCTGGCTGTACTGGGCTCTGGGCTACATTGGTAGACCAGGCTGGCCTCAAACTCAGAGATCCATCTGTCTCTGCCTCTGAGACTGAGACTGAAGGCGTGTACTACCACGCCTGGCCTGCAGTCCTTACTTAAAAAAACAAAACAAAACAAAAACAAAAAAAAAAGCCAACGAGGCAACCTAAAACCAGAGGATTCTGATAGCAAATCACAGCAGACAATTTACAGTTCAAAACATAACTTCTAAAAGCTCAAGACATGATGTGGAGATGCAGCTAAATTGGTAAGACTGCCTAGCATGCACGCAGCTCCAGGTTTCACCCCTGACCCTCACAATACCAGGTGTGATGGAGCACACCTACAATGGTAGCAATCAGGGGAAGGCAACAGTCACCCACAACTGCATGGCAGCTTCCATGCCAGCCTGGGCTACATAAGACCATTAACCACTCACAAACACACACACACCCTCAAGAAAAAAATGGGAAACACACAAACTCACTCTCTCTCTCGCTCGATAAAAAGTGGTTAAAATAATTGCAGAGGGATGAGAGGCTAATTCTGTTAATGGAAGGAAGCACATAAATGAAAGAGACTGAAGAAGGGGTGGGGACAGGACTTATTAGGGAGAAAATCCAAAAATAATTCAAAATATTTATTCTCATTAAATGAGTTTTAAAGCACAGAGAACTAGTATCATCTCGCCAGGCACTGTAGCGCGCACCTTTAGGCCCAGCACTCAGGAGAAAGAGGCAGGACAAGAGACCTCTGGAATCCTCGGTGACTCCCAGGACAGCCTGGGCGACCTTCTCTGTAGGCAGTGTTTTTAGAGCACTAATCAGATGGGAGTAGATCATGGAAAACATCCCAACAGATTCTGCTGTAAAGGCTGAATACAATAATGCTTATGGCAACCTCCAAAAATATTTAGAATCCCACCAATGTGTTCTATAGAGCATCAGCTGCTTAGTTTCTCTGTGGGAGGTCTGAACATAGCTTAGCAGTTACGATGTAGCAACAAAAGGAAATCTTTCTTGCTCTTGCTCCAGTCTGGGGATGAAAAACATTAAGGTATAAATGGTAAATGATCCTACAGGATTTTATTTCTACTTTGCCATGTTCAAGCCACAGAAAACAACAAAAGGGAAAAACTATCCAGTAGTGTATAAACTACCTCCCAGTAATGGTAACAGAGTAGAAACGCAGATTTAGCAGCTGGGATGCGCACAGCAGCAGACCACTCCCTGACCCTCTACACAGCCTGGACTTATCTAAAGCAGGACCTGCCTCAGCGGCTCCTACACGCTTTACGTCTAGTGCAGGAATCTGGCATGTTCTTCTGGCCTCCAAAGACACTAGCACAACAGTGTCAATACACTCACCCACACTAACACACAGTAAATGTATGTTACATTTAACAAAAAAAAAAAAAAAGAGGAAAGTTTCATCAAGAGAAAAGCTCAAAGCAAAACCGAAGCATGTGCCAGGAAATAACTGCCGTAATTAGAAGTGTCAGGGTCATGAAAGCCAGAGGAAGACTAGAGCAGAGGTTGAAGGAGGCTATGGCAGCAATGACAGCTAGCATGTCCAGGAATCATAGGAACACAAGACAAAATCCAAACAGGCCACACATCCATGCTGTGTCAGTCAGTGCTAAGTTTCTGACTTTAACAACTGCCCTGACAAGACAGATAAAATGACACCGAGCAATTCTTTGTAACATTTGTAAGTCTGAAATTATTTACAAACAAAGATGTTATAAGCATAATAAAACATCCCAGCACTCAGGAAAATAAAGGCAGGTGGATCTCTGTGAGTTCCAGGTCATCCTAGTCTACAGTAAGAGTCCAAGGCTACAGAGAAATCCTTCCTCGAAAAACCAAAATGAATGAGTGAATGAACGAACGAATGAGGTGATAACAGAAGTGTCCACAGAGAATTCAGATACAGTGCAGACGTCCAGGGATAGTCTTGGATGACAAGGGAGAAAAGCATCACTGCCTAGAAGACGGTACCTGCTCCCTAAAGGAACACTTCCAGGACTCTACTACTCTGCCTGTTTGTGTCTGAGGGCAACTGTCAAAGTTAGCTATCGGCACTTAGCAGCAGGGACTAGAGTTTACACAGAGCTTTCAGGAGCTGGAAATATACCTTACTAAACCACAGGCGCAAATAACACTTAGGACTGGCCACAAGTTGAGAATCCAACTATTCTAGACAACTTATGTACCTTATTCGGCCTTACATTTCTCCTTTACTAGAAAAAAATAATAATAAATTTTTGTACAAAAAAAATAGTATGTTCTTAAAATTATTTTCTCAAAAAAAAAATTCTCCTTTGCAAAAGTGACACTAAAGCAATCACCATCCATGTAAAAGAAAGCGAGCCGATACAGGACACAGTACGGTGGGAAACACAGTTAGCAATCTTACCAACTTTACAAACAGTAAAATGCCTTTTCCAACCAGTACACACTAGCATCAGTTCCTAAACTCCAAAGAATTATCACAAGAAAGACACTGGTGATTTAATGTTATTAAAATTGTTGTTTATTGGAATGACCAGTATCTGTAAATGATATAACTATTAATGATCACTAAAGCAGTGAAAAATCCCAAAAGTAGCTATTCTGCACCATTCATAAAGCAGAGCGAGAAGGAACAATTTAATACAACCTTCAAAAGGGGCAACAAAGACCAGCAAAAAAAAAAAAAAAAAAAAAAAAAAAAAAAAATGAGCTCCAGGTACACAGCAGGTCCTTTCAGAAGTAGGAGCCAGAGGGCCAAGGCCAAAGGGACAGCACTTCAAAACCCAACAGAGTCCAAAGGGCACAGATGGACAGGCAGACAGCAAGTCCCAACTGTCCTTTCAGGGTGGGTGAGTAAAGAAGGGACACCATAAATGTGACAGCTGAGCTGCTAAGACATCGACAATACAGACTCCAGGACTAAAAGAAACCAAGACACAAAGTATCAAACTCCTTTCTTCTGGCAAAGCTCCAAGATTGGGACAACTTCAAGACATTTATAAACAGACACAAACATGCCTTATTATGTGCATAAGCAAGAGAGAAGCCCGGGAAGTTACATATTTCATAACTTGTGACAATATATACCATTGTCAGGAATTGGCTCCATGTCCCACGGGCTCAGCTTTTCAATTTCAGTGTTGTCCCACCTGTGTAACAAAGAACAAAGAGCAAAGGTTAGCCTTTCCCAAAAAGGACTGCAAGCATCAATTACAAATGAAACATGAAAATTAGCCATCACCGCAGCAACCACATTTCCAACAGTAACGTTTAAAAAGGTTAAGATATAATAAAAAGACAAAATGCAGCCAGGAATAGTGACACACATCTTTAACTGCAGCACCTGGGAGACAGAAGCAGGCATATCTCTTTTAAGGACAGCCAAAACTACAGAGAAACCCTATCTCAAAAAAAAAAAAAAAAAAAAAGAAAGAAAAAAAGAAAAAAGTGCAAGGAGCTAAAGAAGTGGCTCAATGGTTATGGACACCGGCTGCTTTTCCAGGACAAGGATCTGATTCCCACACGGCAGCTCACAACTATCTGGAACTCCAATCCCAAAGGATCTGATGGCCTCTTCTGGCCTGCAGAGGCACCAGGCAAGATAGTACATGCGTATAGTGCACGCAGGCAAAATACCCACAGACATAAAATAAACCATCAGAACTGCTATGCAATCTTTCCTCAGAGTAAGGGGAAAATGCCCACAGCAATGTGAAACTTGATGTCAGACTATCGCTGACCAGTGGAAAGGGGAGAGGCTTTCTGGATATTATTAATGATACAGGATCAAAGCCAAGCTGTGATTGACTCAGGAATTTTAGACATTCTGGAGGACAAACTGAACCAATGACATAAAATTATGCTGAACCTAATGTGTGTTGGTCAGTGTGATCTGGAACAGTAAACAATTTTTTTAATACAAACCTAACAATGTAACACTGGAAATGACTGTCAGGGTACTGTGGCTGATACGGCTCTTGACTCAACACAGTTCCAAACCACCACGCATCATCAATTATAGATCGAAATCTGTCACCTGGAAGAGAAATATTCAAGTCTGAGTCACACCTTTGCAAACATGTACACCTTTCACCTGTGAAATCCCGTAATACACAAGGAACAGAGATCAAGCACAAAGCTTAAGAAAACTCAAAATCCTCGGGGTTGCAGGTGTGTCACAGTGCATGCAAGATCCTGTGTTCAACCAGCACGTAAGGAGAGGAAAGAGACTAACACTCCTGGCTCCCATACAATTGTGTGCATAGTATTAAAAAAATCTTCTATTCTCGAGAAATCTAAGGACTCTTCATGAAACCTGCAGAAAACTTATAAGACTCTGATTAGACTTACAGGGCTGTAGCCATCACTACAAAATACAAGGTAAAAGTGTGTTCTAGGCCGTGCACAGTGGCACTCAGGGAGGCAGAGGCAGAGGCAGGTGGATCTTTGTGAGTTTGAGGCCAGCCTGGTCTACAAAGTGAGTCCAGGACAGCCAGGACTACACAAAGAAACCCTGTCTTGAAAAACAAAAGCAAGCAAGCAAACAAAATATGTTCTCAATCCTTCAAAAACACATGAGCAGTTGGGGTCTGTGGCCAGTGAGATGGGTCAATGGATAAAAAGTCACCATGCCTGATGGCCTGAGGTCAACCTCAAGGGACCCATACGATAGGAGTGTGCGGCCTTCCAACAGTCTCTGACTCTCACATGACCCAGCTACCCTCCTACCGATACACAGCCCCTTAAATGAACCAAGGAAGAACCCTCTAAAAGAAAAGGTTAAATTGGGTCTGAAAGTACTCACAAGCATTAAAAATGCATTATTATTCAACAGAACCACAGAGCCACTAACCAATCCTGCTGTGGTAGAGAAAGCACCTGGAAGAAAGCCGGTCTCTCTTAAGGGCTTTTGCAAAGGACTCCGCTAAAATCAAAGGGCAGAATGGTCTAGGGTGTAGCTCTGTGACCTAGCATGAGACCCCCTCCCCCCACACCTGTAGGAGTGGCTCTAGACTATGAGGGTTTAACATAGCCAACAACTACAGTGAACTCTGACTGGACTGCAGTGAAGAAGCACCACCGTTTCCTCAGTGCTCCATGTGCATAACTGATACAGTACTTCACAAACAGCAAGGAAGGTCACCCAGCCGGCTCTCGGAGCCCTCCTGTGAGTCCAAAGCCAGCCAGGGCCACAGTGAAACCCTATCTCAAAAGACAACTTTTTAAAGTCAGTAATAGTAATAGACTAACACCACACTGTAAAGCTGAGAGCAGAACAAAAGTTCCTCTAGAGAAAAACAAAATCACCAGATTACAAAAAAACCAAACCTTAAAGTTTTAAAGAGTTTTTATTTTCATTCCTGCTGTATACATGTGGTGGGGTTCCCAAGCAGTGGTTGGAAGACACCTTCCAAGAGTCCCTCCATACCATGTGGATCCCAGGGGCTGACCCCAGCTGTCAGGCTGGCACACAGCAAGACCACCAACGCATCCTGATGATCCCAACGTTTGTTTCTATTTCTTTCTGTTTCTCAGATTTAAAACAAAACAAAACAATAACAAAAAAAAAAAAAAAAAGAGTAGAGACTGTCTGACATGACAGGCCAGACTGTCTGGCCTGCTCTTTGATCACTTCCCCTGAGGGGGGAGCAGCCTTACCAGGACACAGAGGAAGACAATGCAGCCAATCCTGATGGGACAAGATTGACTAGGATCAGAAGGAAGGGGAGGGGGACCTCCCCTATTAGTGAACTGGGGGAGGGGCATGGGTGGAGAAGGGAAGAGAGGGTGGGATTGGGAGGGGAGGCGGGAGGGAACTACAGGGGGGATACAAAGTAAATAAATTGTAATTAATAAAAATAAAAATAAATAAAATAGAAGAGGAAACAACCAGTAGAAGTAGGGAGTGTGGTGCACCCACAAACAAAAACATGCATTCAGGTGCTCAGTGGGAGGGAGGGCAGTTAAGAGCTACCTGGCATGGGTGCTCGGAATTCAACTCTGTTCCTTTGGAAGAGGAACAAGTGTCCTTAATGGCTGAGCCATCTTTCCCACCTGTCTACTTCTTAAAGGGCCAGTTTCCTCAAGTCAAATCACTTATCTGTAATTTGCTTTATCAAACGTAAAATACTGTGGCACGACATATTTTCTTTTTCTTTTGGTTTTTCAAGACATGGTTTCTCTGTGTAGCCCTGGCCTCTGTAGACCAGGTGGGCTCGAACTCACAGATATGCCCCCACCAATCCCTCCAGGTGCTAGGGTTACAGGTGTGCTCCACCACCACCCAGATTACAGTTTTCAGTATCAATTCTGGAATTATTTTTGAACCATCAGATTATGTGAGATCAGTGGTCCTCAACCTCCCTAACGCTACAACCCTGTAACACAGTTCCTGTTATGGTGACCGCAACCATAAAATTATTTCTGTTGCTACTTGATAACTATACTTTTGCTTCTGTTATGAATCGTAATGTAGGTATCGGGAATGCAAACCTGTGAAAGGGCTGTTCAATCCCCAGAGGGGTCACAACCTTGGGCTGTGTTTTATCCTGCACAGCTAAGCGAGGTGGCACATGACTTTACCCAGCCCTCAGGAGGGGAGAAAGGCAGGAGCTCAGTGAGTGCCAGCCAGCCAAACTACAAAGAGCGGGCCTGTCTCTAAAACACTACTACTAACATGCATGCCACAAGCAGAAGCAGATGCTCAGCTGGAGCCCACGTGGAATAGGTAGCACTAAGCCAACAGACTTACAGGTCCCTTATGCTTCTAGAAATCATGTTTATATAAACCATAATTACAAGTGCTACATGCGAGTGGCGGCTGAATGGTTTTTAAGACTATATACAACGGAGTAAGGACAGACTTACAAGGCTGCCAGTTTCTCTGTCTTGCTTCATCATAAAACTGACGCAACACAAGAAAATCGATAACATCTGGCATATCATGGTATCTAAAAGAAAATACAAAGTTACCACAGTGGAAAGCAGCGATGTTCATAGCACACAGGCAGCACCTGCTATCTCAAGTTTCTGTACACACTGCACACAAGGGGTGGAAGCCAGAGTGCAATCTTGGCTGCCATTGCCCAAATGCCATCCACCTCCTTCTTTTCAGACAGGCTGGGCCACTGTCTAGAGCAGCCAAACGGGCTAGGCTGGCTAGCCAGGGAGCACCAGAGTGTCCACCTATTTCTTTCTGCCCAGCATGGTTGAGCTCAGACTTTTCTTAGCTGAGCCATCTTCCTAGACATATCTAACCACGTCTATACCTGATAAAGGATGCTAGAGAGGGCTCAGTCAGTAAAAGTGCTTTCAGGGCAGTGTACGGACCTGAGCTCTAATTGGCAGTGTCCACACAGAAGGCAGGTGTGAATATGATAAAGGCTAAGACAGGCAGGTTCCTAGAGATCCCTGGTTGGACAGCCTAACTAAACGGGGAGATCCACAACAGTGAGACCCTGTCTTCATTTTCGGTCTCCAAGTCAGCACAGGTGCAGTCAAATGCAGCAAATGTCTGACAGGCTCTACTCCTCTACCCATGTAGAGCCCCATGGAGAACCATGCAAGCAACAGCCTTCCTGCCTAACTGCTGCCTGGCAGACCTGTCCACAGTAATCTCCATGCATAATTCAGCAAGACGTAAAACTCTCCATCTAAGTAACTGCTCAGAAAAACAATACATACCTAATAGAGAAAGATTTATCTGTAAGTCTGCCAGTTGCTGGATCTATAAATGCTAGTTTGAGGCAACAGAGTGTAGGTGGTCCAACCTCATATCTTATTCCAACAATTTTGACCAACTCTTGATCCTGTTAAGAAACATTTATTGATAAATTATTTTAAAAGACAACTTATCAATACTGTAATTCTCTACGTACTATTGTTAGACTAAGCCAACTCCTACCTTGGGTTCCGAAGACTAAGTGTAGCCAGGCGCAGTTGGGCACACCTTTAGTCCCAGCACTCTGGGAGGCAGAGGCAGACAGAGAGTTGTGAGGTCAAGGCCAGCCTAAGTCTACAGAGTGAGTCCAGGACAGCCAGGGCTACACAGAGAAACCCTGTCTAAAAAAACCAAAACAAACACACACTCCATGTAATCTGCCATCAAGCACCACTATTCGTCCTTCCTCAAATCCAGGGTAGTATCTGACACAGCAGCATGCTCACTAACAACGCCACAGAAGAGTGCACATTTCAGAGTGGCACAGGACCAGTACAGGAGCAGTTAACCAATTTGACCTTTTCTTGTTTTCGTTTTTTAATTTATTTGTGTTTGTGTCAATACATGTGGCAAACCATCCACGTAAAGGTCAGAGCAGTAAATGGGTTCCGTCATGTGAGACGTGGGCTGAACTCAAGAGCCTCAAGCTCTGTCAACCACGGAACTGTAGGTCAAGCCCTTACTTAGTTTTTCTTGGTTCTTTGTTTAAACATCATGTAATTTTGTATTCTGCAATCAAAATATGTAAGATCTTGCTTAGAAATTTTTTTTTTCATTTTTATCTTATGTGTTTTGCATACATTATATATGTATGTATATCTGTGTGTCACATGAATGCCTGGCGACAGGAGAGGACAGAGGCGTCAGATTTCAAAATAGTCTACAACCAGAATGGAATGAGCATATATGCCAACCCAGCAGTTTAGAAGGCGGAGGAAGGACAGATGGAAGTTCAAGGCCAACCTAAACTATAAGGACAGTCTCGGCAGACAAGGAAAGAAAAGAGTAGGCAGAGTGAAAGCAATGTAGGAAAATGTATAAACAGATCTCAGTTCACATTTAGCTCGAAGCTAACAGTTATTCTCTAAATGAAGCATCTCCCTTACATTCCCCCCTAAAACATGCACATCACAGGATGTACTAAGGAACTTGAGTCCACAATTTAAATCTGTGCTTAGAGGCCTTTATAAACAGCATCTGTAACAAAATCCACACGTGTGACAAACATGTTCGAGCCCATGAATGACACTGTGGGTTGCTTTTCCCACCTCAACCAGAAACGTGCTCAGCTGTAAAACCATTTACAGCCCTGCACCTATCTGGGATACAAGTGTTAACTTTATGCTTCTACATGACATTATGGACAACACACAAATACTAACCCACGTAAAAAGAGGGCTTTAGTGTGTTGCATAGTAAAGAAGATATAAAGCCAAATTCACAAAACAAGGCCAGAAAATTTAAGAGTTGAAATGTTTTTTTTCAGGGCTAGAGAGATGGCTCAGCGGTTAAAGGCTCCGACTGCTCTTAAAGAAGATCTGAGTTCAAGTCGCACCATCCACATGGTGGCTCACCACTGTCTGTAACTCCAGGATCTAACACACTCCTACAGATGTCCATTCAGGCAAAATGCCAACGCACCAAAAATAAATAAATAAATAAATAGATAAATATTTTTTTTTTCATTTTCTAGCTTATTATATAAAAAGCATCAAAATACAAACACTACTAACATTCTGGAATTTTTCTTTCAAGAATACAGACTGCATCCTGCATTCTTCCATCCCATCATTCAAGTTCTCAGCCTCATGTATATATACACTCAACACAGCAAGGCATGCAGGAATGCAGCCTGGCTTAGTTTACCCGCATGATACGGTATGTGGCTCCCATGCCACTTTGGCCTCTTCATGTGTTTATGAGCTTACTACTTCTTGCTGAAGTTAGCAGAAAAAAAAAAAAAAAAAAAAAAAAAACTGGCTGTAAGGCCTGAAAATCATTTACCCTCAACTCCATTGCCCATTACACCACCTAGGAAGCATGGACCACACAACTACCTTATCAGCTGCTTAAACAACAAATCAAAATCTCTGCTATCTGCTAAAAGGCAGGATTTCTTTCAGAAAAGAAGACACTACAGACACACTGGGAAAGTCCTATCATCCATCTCCTTCTTAACATGGGTCCCTCCTCTCCAGTTTCACTTCCATCTGTCCTGTGTTATCATTCCCCTATGCCTATACACTTGACGTCAGCGTGGACCTACCCGCAGATCCATCTTTCTCCATGGCTCCTTATTCGGATTCAGTTCATAAATGTTATTTCTTCTGACAGCTTCAACGTAAGCTTCGTGACCCTGACGGAAGTAGATCACCTGCAAAGGGACATGTGTTCACTAGGAAGCCTCTGGGCAGAGGCTTGGATTTCACATGCACACTCTTGAAGGCTTCTGTCCTCACCTCATCACCCATCTGAGGAACAAAAGGAGACTTCCGAAGTGTGGTGTCAGTTATCCAAACAGGAGGGTGAAACTCATACAAATGTTCCTCATTCGCCAGCTCTGCTGGTGTCATCCTTCGCAAACTCTGCCAAGAGAAGACAATAAAGCTTGGCAGAAAAGCAGCAACATACACTCTTTAATTCACTAGCCACAGTGGTTTTGTTTAGATCAATGCACAAGAATCTATTGCTCTTTTAAAAAATGATTAAATGTGCCTGGACCCACTCCTCCGCTTTCCTGTGGAGCCACCTTGGCTCAGCCTAGCATGCCCCACCAGAAGGAGCTCTCTTCTGAATGTCTTCTAGGCACAAGCTACTCTATGAGACGTGAACACAGCCTAACAATAATGGTTAGGCATCTCCTTTTGGCTCAGGCCACATACCTAAGCTTGGGAAGAAGATGGAGCCCTCAGAAGGCCCTGGATATACTCCACGGCCGACCTGAAGCACCTCCATTTCTGACCCACCAACCAAAGCAGGAACAAGAACTGAGGAATGTGTAATGTCACATCTACGTGTTCAAGGTTGCTCTGATGCATGTTACTAGCCCTCAAGATCTGGTACACCTATTGTGCTGTGTAAACCTAACTGATTAGCTAATTAAACGGCCTATCCCTGGGCAGGGCAGAAGGTAGGCATGGCGAAGGTTCCTGGACTTGGAGAAGACAGGAGAATCATGGGAGATAAGACAAACAGGAAGAGAGGAGGAAAGAGTACAGACACCACGATGGGTTAGTCTCGAGAAGAAACCATGTGGGCCGAGAGGAAGGACTCCAATGACGGCGTGAAAAGGCCCAGATGAAGAATAAAAGCAAGTATTTATAACATTATGGAGGGAAGATTGTATGGTTAAGGAGGATGGCACTGGATGGGGGCTGGGAGATGGATGGTGGGTGATTCAGACAGCGCAGGTAGGAATATCTGCCTGGCCGAGGGTAAACAAGGCAACTATAAAAATCTAACAGGTACCTGTGCCCTATTACTTGTGATAGCAGGTTAGATAACAGTGCCATGATAATAAATAATAATATAATAATAAATATTATAAACATCGTATAGACCGTCATTTTTTTTTTTTTAACTTACAACAGCTACCTATGTGTCAGGAACTCTGTTACACAGGAATATAAAACAAACAAACAAAAAGCCTTAACAGTTAACTAATGATAGCCACATGAGACAGGACCTATTGAGCATATAATAAAGAAATAAAGCATTTCTGCAGTCAAAGGAAACTATGAAACCAGAAAAAGTAAAAATGGCAACAAGAAAGGGAGTTGGTGGTGACGGTGCACAACTCTAACTCCAGCACTCAAAGTTACACAGAGAAAGCCTTTTTATACGGGGGAGGTGGGCAGCAAGAGGCAGTGGGGAGAGACTGAAAACCCTCTACTCCTGCTAGCAAGGCCAGTGTCAGCTCTAAAGCTGAGTCAACACTACTCAGAACAGTGGGTCCTCACTTCTTCCAACACTTCTCCCAACTCTTTTGCAACAGAGAAACCCACTTCTGAAAGACATCAACATTCATAGAAAGGAAAACGGTAAGAACATAAACAAAACTCAAGAGAGAAGTTACGCTAAGAAACAATGAGCCCGGGCTGAAGCAGGGCAGCAACAAAGAGGTGTTTAATGTATACAAAGTTTAACTGCCAGAAAGAGGAGCAGGGCTCTGAGGATTCACAAAGTCATGAAACTGTGCGCATCAGAGAATCTAACCCTAGTGTGCAAGGTGTGAGGTTTGAGGCCCTGGGTTCAATCTTAACACCCAGAAAAAAAGAACACTAGAGCAGAAAAGCAAGAAATTCAAACAAAGGAAACAAACGCAGATGTAGAAGCGAAGACATTAGGCTGAAAGGTTTGCTGCTTTCCTTACCTCCCTTTTAGGCTTGCTTTCTTTCTTTCTTCTCCGCCTTCTTTTTGGAGGAGACATGTTCTCTGGAGAAAGCTCATCCTCTGAGCTGCTGCAAAAGCGGGTCACTCGCCGACGACACGACGTCCTTAAAGGAGGCTGCAGGTTGACTCCCGGGTCAGCTGTCCAATCAGAGTACCGAGATGAGGAGTCGCTGCAAGAGCACAATGCTTCAAATCGCACGGGACCAGGGTTTAAGCTAAGAGCAAGCTCAAAATGGAGGCTGGGAGGGATAAGGGGGTGAGTATGGAGAGAGGAAAATGACAGCCTAGGTTTATGTGAGCATCCTGCTCACACCAGCAAAGATCACAGCAAAGATGGAGAAGAAAAGCTTCACCAGACCTGGAGAGAGGGCTGGAGATGACAGCGCTGGCTGCTCTTCCAGGACTGGGGGTCAATTCCCAGCACCTACAAAGTGGTTCACAGATATCAGGAACTTCAGTTCCCGGGGATCTAATGCTTGAAAGTAACTTGTTTTCCCAGGTGGCTGAGCCTCTGAAATGCCACAAGTGCAGGAAAGTGCTCACAATAGCTACACCACAAGAGCAGAGTAGGACTTAAGAAAAGCTCTTGCCCACAGCCAGGGATGAGGTCTCTGCTGAGCCACTGCTGTGGTTTGAGCATTCATCTCTCAAGCTCCTCGCAGTATAATTAGTTTGGTTTGGTTTTGATTTTTTTTTAAGGCAGGTTTTTTTCTGGGTTGCCTTGGCTGTCCTGGAAATTGTTATATACACAAGGCTGGCCTCAAACTTGCAGATCCACCTGCCTCTGCCTCCGGGATTAAAGATGTGTTCGGGCACCAACCGGCTATAATTACTAGTTTTTATGCCATTGGGACTGCACAATTTAAGGAAATTTCTTAAGAGAGTAGTGCATGTCCTTGTGCTCTAGGACAAAACTCAAGGCAGCAGTCAGTAGAGCAAAGGAGACAAAAAACGAGGTAGAGAGCAGCATCAAAAAAGACGACAAAGGCTATATCATCTGTGTCCTATGGATCCTGGGGAAGCTTCCGGGCATGGCTACCTAGAGCTTGTGTACAGGGAAACAACATGAAAAAGATGGAGACTTATATTCTCATCACACTGAAACCTGGATGCTAACTAGAGACAGTTAAAAATATCTGGTGATAAACACATGGGAAGGTTGTACACACGCGTGCACACCCATTTTGAATGTAGCCTGAGATAGATCAACATTGTCACTCTGCATTGCCAAGCAGGTGGTAGCGCACTCCAGAGCTAGCCTGTGTGAGTCTTCTCAAGTATAAACACGGTTCTGACCCAGGCCATGACCAAACTACTTCCGACACTAGAACAAAGCAGGTACCTTGAACTGTCACTGTCAGTTCTTCTGTCACTTTTCCATTCGTCATCTTCCGAAGAGCAAGACGCTTCACTCTGATCACAGGACGTCTCCTAGATTGTGAAGGGAAAAGAAAAATCTTGATCCCATAGGCTGCTTGTGATCCCAACAACCAGTATGCCTAAGAAATTCAAATACTGAAGTACAAATGCAATCAGATAAAACCTAGAAAGCAAGCTACCATTACTAAGGGCATGACGGGCTTCTTGACAGAAGGCTGCATGGACTTCAGAGGGGCCTACAACTCACTGTGTCAGAGAATGGTTTTGAACTCTGACCTTCCTAGGATGACAGGTCTAACACCAGGCCTAGCTTCTAACTCCTTATTTTATCAAGGTACTTCCAAAGAGTACTCAGGAGGCTGACTGCTGTGTTTTGCTTTCAAGGATGAGACAGCCAGTTATCTTTCCAAACTGTGACTGCCCTTCTATGTACCCATACTAAGGAAGTGAAGGGTAGATGCTTACCCACTTAAAAAAAAGATTTCTTTCTTTCTTTCTCCCCCCAAACCAAATTTTTTCCAAACCAAATTTTTTCTGTGTAGCCTTGGCTGTCCTGGACTTGCTTTGTAGACCAGGCTAGCCTCAAACTCATAGAGAGCCACCTGCCTCTGCCTACCTGAGTGCTGGGATTACAGAAGTGCAATCACTGCGCCCAGCAGGGTTGATTTGTTATTCCATTTCAACAGCTCTTTATAATATACATGCAAGTTTTTCTCAAGTATATTTGCCACTTTGTGGTTTTGTCTATCTCATAACATTAACAGTTACCTTTTCTGGAGCAATTTTGAATTATCAGTTTTGTCAAAGTTAGCACTTAGAATAACATTCACATCTCTGAGGACACCTATATCACATCTGTCTTCAGCTGCTACAAATTTTCAACTCTCTTGTATATTTCATTCCGTTTGAGCTGTTATTTCTCCTCTCCCCAGATAGGGTCTCGGCCTTGAGGCTCGTGGTCCAGGCATGATCCTACGGAGCCAGACTGGGTGAGCTCAGTGAATGAGGGCGGCAGGGAGATTTGTGGAGTAAATGTGCCCAGCTACTCCATCAGGAATCACTCAAGCACTAAGTTGTCTTTGCTGAGCGTCAGCTGACCACTGTCTGTCCTTCCACCAACACCACTGAAAACCACTGAAAACTAGAGTAAGGAGCAGCTTCTGTTGGTCCTTTAACTATGTTCTTCTGCAATTCTATGTTAGCCTTCCTGGATTTTTCTCCTCTCCATAGAATTTAAGAGGTTTGCCAATATCTGTTGCAGAGTATTTGATCACACTGAGAACCTGAGATTGTGTCAGTTACTGAAAAACCCGTTTCTAGTTGTGGCTTGGCTCAGCCCTAGCACACACCTTTAATCCAAGAGCTTTCTGCTTGAATATTGTAAACAGGATTAAATGAAGTCAACCATAGGTCAAGAGGTATAGCAAGCAACCAGTGTCAGGGAGTGAACATAGCATAAAAAGAGAGAGTAAGAGGTAATCAGGAGGAAGGATATAAAAAGAAGATTCCCCTTTTGTGTGAAGTCAGCTGTGTAGGAAGGTCAGCTGGGTGCTTTCTGTGCCTCCCTGAGCTACTAGGCTTTCACCCCAGCATCTGGCTCCCGAGTCTTTATTGGTAAAATCAAACAATTGAGATTGTTAGACACAACAAAAGGAACTTGCTAGGATGACTGGAAACCGTAAATACTGACTATACAGACGCTGGCAGAAAGACAACTTGACAAAGATGTGAGCCCACAGGGATGCTCCTTTGCCCATGAGAACATAAACTGACGCGGGCACTCTGAGAGGCTCATCACAAAAGCTCTAGTTTTCAGAGACACTCCTGAGCTTAAGTTCACAACAACCTGCACACAGATGATTCATGCATAATGTCTTCATGCCTAACTGTCAGAACTCAAACACCAAGATGTTATGCTCACACAATGGAGTAATGAACTATGGTAAACATAAGTGAGCTACGGAGCCAGAAGACAAGGGAAATGCGTCGATGTGTTACAAAAGGCAAGAGGTAAACTGAAAGGCAATACAGTCCAGGAGTCTTTCTAAGTAATATCCTAGAAAGGCACACTAGGGAGAAGAAAAGTATTTGTGGGAGCAGAGGACAAGCGCACAGAGGAGGAGGGAGCACATGCTCTAGTTCCTGGGTATTCAGGAAGCTGAGGCAGGAGGAGTACCCAGATGAGGGCAGCACTGGTACCCAGTACCCAGCTGGGCAACACTGCTTTTGCTGCTGCTGTTTTTAAAGGGCTAGGGATGTAACTTAGCAGGAGGAGTGCTTGCCTAGCAACGGGAGGCCTGGGTACCACCCTCTGCTTCATGGAACCAAAGATAGAAGCTGGCAGCAGAAGGGGCCAGGAGTGAAATGTCATCTGAGTGTCAGTCAAGCCTGAATATAGGAGATGCTGTCTTTAGTTGAAAACAAAATCAAATTAAGAGGGCTGCCAAAATGGCTCAATAGGTAAACCCGAGTTCAAACTCCAAGAGACACACACTGGAAAAACAGAACCCCCTTCCCAGGTTGTACTCTGACATCCACCCTCAAGCTGTGGCACACACATTCACACATGAAAGTAAATATATAAATATAATTTTTAAAAACCAAGGCAAGTGCCAGGTGGTAGTGGCACCCTCCTGTAATGCAGCACTGGGGGTGGGGGGGGGGGGGGGGCAGTGGAGAGGGGATCTCAAAAGTTTGGGGCCAGTCTGTTCTACAGAATGCATTTCAGGAGGACAGCCGGAGCTACACAGAGAAACCGTATCTTTAAGAAAAACAAAAACCTCATTTAAGGCAAGATGGGGCTCCGAGAAAAACGCTTCCCACAAAGCCTGAAGCCCTGAGCTCAGTCCGGAAGCTCAGCAAGAGAGAACGGCTTCTCTAAGTTTGCCCTGATGCCCAAATGCACCCACCCACACAGTAAGTAAGTGGGAACCAGAGAGACGCTCCGCCATTGAGAGAACTGCAGCTAGCTATTCCAGAGGACCTAGATTTGGCTCGCAACTCTCACACAGCAACTCATAACCATGGACTCCTGTTCCAGGCAATCCAAAACCCAAAACTCTTCTAGCCTCCTCAGGTCGAAGCACACCCATGATGCACACACATACATGCCGGTAAACCACTCACACCCATAAAATAAATTTCTAAAAAATTAATTAATAATCAATAATAAAATTTTGAAAATCTGAGACAGGGTCTGGAACTCACTGTGTAGAAGCTGGCCTGGAACTTACAAAGATCCATTTGCTACTGCCTCCCAAGTGCTGGGATTAAAGGCTGAGTGACTACACAGGATACAATCACTGAGACGTAACACCACACGTAACAAACAACACAAATTCAATGACCCTCTGCAAAAAATGATATGATCAACAGTTTAAACTGTAAAAACGGAGGCAAGTAAAAAGCAGATCAATCATTTGGTCTAAGATAAGGCTTTCAACATGACACAATGTAAATGGACAGAATTCTTAATGGAGGCAGAGGCAGGTTGATCTCTGTGAGTTCTAGGCCAGTCTTAGTTACAAAGAGTTCCAGGACAACCAGGTTCTGTTACAGAGAAACCCTGTCTTGAAAACCAACCAACCAACCAACCAAACAAACAAACAAAAACAACAAGGTGGCATTCTAAATGAGGTAAAGACAGCATTATGACCAAATTTTAGCTTGCTGAACTGACATAAGAATTGAAGAGAAGTGAGTGATAGACACTTTACACTATTCAGAAGGGCAGATAAGGAAATGACCCCAAATCACTATGGGGTTAAAATCACTGTGGAGGTCATAGTGTCAGATTGCCTGGAAGTGGACTTACAAATAGCTATAAGGCACTTCGTGGGTGCTGGAAAATAAACCCTGGTCCTCTGGGGGAGCAACCATCTCTCCAGGCCCTGCGTACTTGTTAAGTCTTATAGATGACCCATATTCAGCTCCCAGCTCCACACTGTGGCTCACACCATCTCTAACTACAGTGTAAGAGAGCCAGTGGCCTTCTGGCCCTCCCAAGCACCTCCACCTCCACAAGGCAGGCACCTGGTACACACAAGCACATGTATATGCAGGCAAATACAGATGCACATAAATTAACTCTTAAAGAGTTCCCAAACATGAAGCATGAAGCTGGAACCCCAGAACTAAATAAACTGAGCATGTGGGCACACACTTGTAATCCCAGCGTTTGGGAGATGGAGGCAAGGCAACGATCGGGAGGGCAAGGTTCCTCTACAGCAAATTCAGGCACAGGAAAGAAAAGAAGAGAAGAGAAGGGGAGGGGAGGAGAAAAGAAGAGAAAGAAAAGAGGAAAGGAAAAGAAAAATACAAACTGGTTTCTGAAAACTTCAAGAACAATTTATATATAACCATTAGATGTTGAGCAACAGGATTAGACAGACTTCTTACATGCAGCACTGATAACAAGTGATAAAATGACAATAATCAATAACACTTCATCAAAATTTTTTAGGGATAAAGGGGATTCAACACAGCGTCTCTGTGTAGCTCTGGCTGTCCTCAAACTCAGAGCTCCTCCTGCCTGTGCCTCCCAAGTGCTGGGATTGAAGACATGTGCTACCACACTTCATCAAATTGTAAACCTTCATGTTCCCAACATCAACCAGAGATGTGCAGACTATTCTACCCACAGAATCCAGAAAAAAATGACTCTCGAGTAACGCATCTGGTAATAAAGCACATTCCTAGAATGTGTAACACCCAGACAGCAGAAAAACGAATTTTTAAACAGGGTTCAAATTAGACTTTCCAAAAATTTAAAAATGCTACGTAAGCAGATGAAAGTACGCTTAACGTTCGAGTAGTCAGACAGAGAAGGCACAGCACAGTAGCCTCCGGTGACAAAGGAGTATACATAAAAGCAGACAGCTCATTGACCAAGCACAGAACATCAAGGACTTTGGGAACAAGTCCTCAGAGAGCTACAGATGCCTACCAGTAATGAACATACTAACAGCTGGAGAGCAGACAACTCAAATATCCACCAGTTGACAAACGTATGAACAAAATATGGCATGGACACATACATTAGTATGTTCCCATATGCTTTATATATGCAAGTAGTGTTATGTGTTAAAAAGCAAGGATAGGAAAACGAGGTACTGTAGGGCAGATTGGGAAAATGGATGCATTTTCTACTGATAAAAAGGTTTAGATGGTATATTAAATGTGCACATGGTATGTGAAGATTTTGATAAAACTAATTATAAAAACTTCTATTAAAAACCTCAGGCAGGGCCAGCTGGTGGTGGAGCAAGTCTTTAATTCCAACATTTGGGAGACAGAGGCAGGCTGATCGGTGAGTTCCAGGATAGCCCCCTGGAACTCAGAGAAACCCTGTCTCTAACCCAGCACCCCCTACTGTTAAAGGTTGGTCTTATGCATGTTACTGGCCCTTAAGATATGGTTACGCCAAACTTTGTTTCATAAAACTGCCAAGGATATATCTGATTGGTTGACTGAACAGCCTATACCTGGGCAGGACAGACTAGAGTAGGCCTGGAGAAGATTCCAGGGCTTTGGAGGACAGAGAGGATCATGGGAAACACAGGAGGGAGGAGGAGGAGGAGGTCACAGTGGGTTAACCTGCAGAAGAAACCATATGGGGCTGGGAGGAAGGACTCCAATAATGGCATGAAAAGGCCCAAATGAAGAGTAAAAGCAAGTAATTTTAAGATTATGGAGGGAAGATAGGATGGTTAAAGAGGGTGGCATTGGATGGGGGCTGTGAGATGGATGGTGAGGTTATTGAGACGGCATAGGTAGGAATGTATCAAGATAAATAAGGCAATTACAAAACCTAACAGGAGTGTGTGCCCTATTACTTGTGATAGAGGGTTAGATAATCATACGGCAAATTATAATAAACATTACATAGATTTTATTTACTACAGCAGCCCAGCCCAGCCCACCCCTACCCAAAAGAAGAGCACAGTTCAACCGGAGACAGCTTCAGGTGCTGGCCATCTCAGCACACACAAGGATAAAAGCAAAGGACGGTGAGCCGGCCTGCCTCAAACTTACAGGACAAGCCCAGGCCACACACCTGGCAGAGGGGACCCCAGCAGCCTTGCAGGCACAGCAAAACCATGTCCCCTTGTCTCACAGCCAATCAAGGGTCAAGACAAACTTGAGAATGTCATCTTTAGCTGGGCGTCATCTTCACATAAATATGAAGTAGACTCAAAGGAGAGAGTTAATTGAGGGCCATTGAAAATGCTGAGGGGATAAGTGCTCGCCGTCAGGCCTGACACCTGAGCTGCAAGTGACAACCCGATGTCCCACAGCTTACCTACATCCACCCACAGAATAAATAACAGACAGAGTTAGGACGAACTGAGCACAGTCTGTCGGCACAGGCTACAACACATGAGACAGGAGAACTCCAAGTCCAAAGGTCTGCCTCTGAGACTTAGGAGAACCCTTCCTCAAGACTGTGGCCCATGCCTGGACCTTAGGTTTGATCCCTAACACCACACACACACACACACACACACACGTGTGTATACGAGTCAGAAAAATGCAAATACAATAATCTCAATCCTCCTACTCACATGTCTATTAGAGCCTGAAGACTCATTCCCAGAAGACACATCACAGTGGTCGGCATTTCTTCTACTATAATTTGTGTATTTACGCCTGCACATCCGTTGTCTGGACTGGGACACCAAAACCGTCGACTCTGACTAAAACGTAAAGAAGCATAAGCACTGTCAAAATGAGCATTGCATTAAGTTAACTTTGAGTAATTCTGCCACATTGTTTATTCCAAGTTGGCATTTTTACCTTTAGCTCATCAGAGCGCATGGGAGTCACGTAGCTCACCATGTTCACACCACCGTGCAAGTTACCGTGCTACCACGAATGACGTAAACCCACAGTAAACAGGCTGCCAGAGGCTGGGGTGTGACTCAGCTGGCAAACGCTCATTAGCAAGCACAACCCTTAGAGTAAGGTTCCCTTCCCATGATTCCATAGACTGGGGGTTCTGGTGTATACCTGTGCAATCCCAACGTTCAAAACACAGAGAAGGGAGGAGCTGGCTGTGCAGTGATGAAAAAACATAGAACTCAGAAGCTTATATGGGCTGGGCAATGGTGGCACACACCTTTAATCCCAGGACTCAAAAGGCAGAGGCAGGAGGATCTCTGAGTTTGAGGGCAGCCTGGTTTACAGAGAAGAGAGCCAAAGCTACACAGAGAAACCCTGTCTTGGGCTGGAATGTATGTGCCTATATATATATACGTGTGTGTGTGTGTGTGTGTGTGTGTGCCTATATATATATGCGTGTGTGTGTGTGTGTGTGTATATATGCATGTGTGTGTGTGTATATATATATATATACGTGTGTGTATATATATACGTGTGTGTGCGTGTGTGTATATATATATACACACACGCACACACATGTATGACATATGAGTCATTAACCTTAAATGTTATCAATCTCAATGTTAGTTACTGAAACAATCTCCAAACAGTGACAAGTACTTTCAGTGTTTCTATCACAAATAGGCAGGGCTGTGACGTAAAAAGTGAAGGCAAGAACATCAGAAGTGGCCGACTGAAGAGACAGCCCAGTGGTTATAAACGTGCTGCTCCCCCAGAGGACCAGAGTTCAATTCCAGCATACAGGCCAGGCATCTTACAACCACCTGCAACTGTAACTGATACAGGAGATCCAACACCTTCTAGCCTACACAGGCAAACATACACGTAGGAAAGCTTTACAAAAAACACACACAGAGGCTGAACACTGGTGCACACCTTTAATCCCAGCACACCCAGGAGGCAAAGGCAGGCAGATCTCTCACAAAGACACCTGTCTCATTCTACCACAGAGGGCCTCTAAAGACTGCTGATTGAGGTATCGAAGCAGAGGCTAAGACTCATGGCCAAACTTTGGGCAGAGGGCATGGAATTTTATAAGAGAAGGGGAAGACAGAAAGACCTGAAGGGGAGAGGACCTCCATAAGGAGAACAGTGCCAGAGTCCTGGGGCCCTACAAAGACTGACACCCCAACCAAGGACCATGCATGGAAAGGACCTAAAACCCCGGCTCAGCTGTAGCCCATAGACTCAGTCTCCAAGTGGGGTCCTTAGTAAGAGGAACAGGGGCTTTCTCTGGCATGAACTTAGCGGCTGGCTCTCTGATCACCTCCTCCTGGAGGTTGTAGCTTTGCCAGGCCACAGAGGAAGACAATGCAACCAGGCCTGATAAGACCTGATAGGCTAGGGTCAGACAGGAGGGGAGAAGGACCTCCCTTATCAATGGACTAGGGGAGGGGAATAGGGACAGAAGAGGGAGGAAGGTTGGTAGGGGATGAGGGGGGTGGCCACAGCCGGGATACAAAGTGAATAAACTATAATAAGTGATACTAATAAAAGAGAGAGAGAGAGAGAAACCTGTCTCAAAAGCAAAAAAACAAACAAACAAACAAACAAAAAAACTGAACAGTTCTGTATTGCCTTTATACAGCCAGGAGATTTCAGGCAATAAATGCCACACTAGAGAGCTATTGGTGTTAAGTCACAAAGAACACTGAGCTGTAAGGAGAGGCAGTCTGTGAGGAGAGGGAGTCGTTCGTTACCTTCTGTGACATCTGGGAAGCCTTCTTGTTCCTCCCTATCACATACAGGTTTCTCTCCTCTTCGCCTCTCTCTATGCGGAAGTCCTCCAACCGCCTACAAAATTAAGTGTGCAGTAACAGGCTTTCAGACTGATCCACATGTTAAATTACTACAGCTTTAAACATCACTCAGTTCACAGCACACTAAGGAACACACATAACCATTTACTTTAAAAAAAAAATCTTAGTGCTGTTCCAGCTCCATCACTTGGAGGTTGAGGCAAGAGAATCACTCAAGTTAAAGCCTCACCCCAAGTACAACTGAGGTCCAATTCACTCCCCAAACTATCTGACTGGAATTTTACAAGAGTGGTCCTATCAGGAACATACAACGGCATTTCCTGTATTTCAGTGCTCCCCAGCATCTCCTGTGACTTTCCAAGACTGCACTTTCCCTTCTGTAAATAAAATTAAAAGCAACATGTTCTCTATGGAAACAGTTCACCTCCATGCTTTATAGCTCACATTAAACAAAAAATACCTAAATAGTTATTCCTACAACAACTGAGATAAAAGGTGTTAACCACATTAAAACATCCCCCTAAGGGGCTGGAGAGATGGCTCAGAGGTTAAGAACACTGGCTGTTCTTTCAAAGGTCCTGAGTTCAATTCCCAGCAACCACATGGTGGCTCACAACCATCTATAATGAGATCTGGAGCCCTCTTCTGGTGCTCAGGCATACATGAGACAGAACGCTGTATACGTAATAAATAAAATAATTCTTAAAAAAGAAAAAAAAGTCCCCCTAAGAGTTAAGAATGGACCCTTCAATGGACCTGAACACAGCCGGGGGTGCCTCTGGAACAACCACCCTCCGCTTCCAAGCCTGCAGGTCACGCTCCGTAGCAATCTGACTCCGGGGAGCGTTCTGATGCATCTGGCGAACACCTTCAACCTGCCCACTTCGGCGAAGACCGATGTTTGGAGGAGACTGAATATCTAAACTCAGTCTTCTAAAACCTAGAAAAGGTTATCAGGAGGCATTTTCAAAACACCTCGGATTATTATGTTCACTTAGCACACAGTACAATGTGTATTCCTCCCACTAGGACACATACTCCACGTCAGAGAGAGGGTACACCAAAGGTAACATGCAAGAAGAGAATTTACACCTGAAACCACAAGGTTTCAATCTCAACTCTTACTAGACTTTCTCAAGTTGCAAAATACACACATGTATTCCACTGCATTTTTATTTCAAGATACTTTGTCTTGTGGGAAATCCTTTGTTAAGGAAAGGTGCCCAACCCTATAGATCCTTGACTTAAAAGTCAATCAAGGAAAAAAATGGTCAGACAAACCCAGATAAAACATAATGTACAGATCCTAAAAATGGCACCTTTCATATAAAAGCTATCAAGGAAGACAACTGGTAAAATGTGGAAAAGCCAGTATGAACAAACACCAGTTTTCCTTCTGCAGATCAAGATGTCAACCTCTCAGCTCCTCCAGCACCACACCTGCCTACGTGCCTCCATGCTTCCCGCCATGATGGTACTGGACTAAACCTCTGAACTGTAGGCTGGCCACAGTTAAATGCTTCCTTTGTGAAAGCTGCGTGGTCATGGCATCTCCACAGCAGTGAAGACCTTAGACAGCCCCACCACGGTTGCTCCTCTGCACTACACTGAGCAGCCTGGGTCTCTGAGCACACAAGATGAAAGAGGACATCCTAGCTCATCCTTAAAAGCTGACCTCAGCCAGGCACCTTGGCACACGCCTGTTATCCCAGTGCTCGGGAGGCATGGGCAGGCAGATCTCTGTGAGTTCGCAGCCAGCCTGGTCTACAGAGGAGTCCAGGACAGCCAAGACTACACAGATAAACCCTGTCTCAAAAAACAAACAAACAAACAAGTAAATTAAAGGCTGACTTGGGAAGACAGCAAGTCTCCACTAGATTTCACAAAATATACAAATGTCAAAGCAAGAAAAAGCTGAAAGTTTTCCTTTAAAAATAGTGCTGTTTGCTCTCCTTTAATACAATCCCGTAAACATACTCTTACAGCTAACACAGGTGACGGCCTACCAGAGGGCTTGGAAATTCTCAAGTCCACTTACCACTCCATATTATGAATAACAAACAATTTTCAAAACATTGTCTAGGGCAAAACTATGTTGCTGCTCTTGGGCCTTTGCAGTGCCTGTGCCTGACAATAATGTCACTTCTCTTGACTGCAACGCTCTTGCATTAAGGTACAATGTTTCACGGTACTCACTCCCTCTTCGGGGTGTCTCCTCCCCATTGGAAAGTCCATTTGCAGCCACATCCTGACCCACTCCCAGTCTCTGGTCTTGTTGCTGCTGTAACTGCCGGATCATCCCATCCAGAACGCTGGGCTCTGGGCTGGCTTCAGCACTGTCGTTGGTCTGCAGGCTTATGATCTGTTCAATCACCTCTCCATCACCTACAAAGTCACCCATTCATCTGTCATCATGGTACACAAAGAAGTGGAAAAATTGACACACACCAATAGGCTAGGCATGAAGCTCAGCGGTGGGGTACCTGCCAGGATGAACAAGACCCTGGCCTCCAGGTACCCTGAGCAAAGGAAAACACAAAGAAAGCACTATAGTAAAACAGTTTTCAAAACCTAACCTATTAGGACGAGAACCTACTCAAAGTTTCAAACACAAAGATTCAAAGCAAAGACCGGGGCACTAAGTCACAAAAAAACCTTCATGTCACTGTGGAGTTCCTGTATCTCTCCGCTGTGCACTACGGCCCTTCATCTGCACACCCTGCTGCACTGAAAGCTGAAACCCACACCTTGTAGATCATGGGGTGCTGGCCCGTGGCATAGAAGCAATGGCATTTCCTCAGTCTCAGAAAAACTGGCATTGCCTTTTGTCCTCCAACCAAAAGCAACCAGCCTGCACTAAAAGAAGCCTGAGGTGGCAGTGCAAGTCAGTGCTTCTTTTCTTTACAGTGCTGTAATCAAACCCAGGGTCTTCTGAAGGCCAGGCAAGTGCCTAAACCACTAAGGTACACAGCCTTAGGTATCGGCATGATGAACTGTACCAGCAAGTACACCAAGCACACATCACTGAACTCTACAAAGTGCCTGGTGGCGCACACCTTTAATCCCAGCGCTCAGAAGGTAGAGAAAGGCACATCTCTGAGTTTGGGGCCAGCCTGTCTACAAAGAGAGTTCAGGACAGACTACACAGAGAAACCCTGTTTTGAAAAGCAAAAAACAAACAAACAAACAAAAAACCAAACAAACAAACAAACCAAAACAACAACAATGAAAAACCATAAAAGACCTTATGGGGCTAGAGAGACAGCTCAGGGGTCAAGAGCACTGGCTGCTCTTCCAAAGGTCCTCAGTTCAATTCCTAGCACCTACACGGTGACTCCCAGCCATCCATAATGAGATCCCGTGCCCTCTTCTGGCATGCAGGTATCCACACAGATAGAACACTGTATACATAATAAATAAATCTTAAAAAATAAAATAAAATAACAGACTGAGGCTACAGCCCAAAGTGCTTGCTCAAGTCAACCCTGAAACTACAAAATAAAACACAAACAACAAAAAAAGGCAGAAAAAAAGTCACAAAGAACAGAGAGGACTAACAAGCATAAAAAATATGATGAGCCCAAGCTCAGTCATACTAACAACACTGAACATAACAGTTGCACATCATACACACAAATAAACAACAAATCCTAAAAACCAATGCTAGTAGTGATGCTAGGATGTAAAGGCCACACACTCGTCAAGTCATGCACTCCCTGAGCGCAGGGGTGCAGACCTGTGCTGCCACAACCTCCGCCCCCCGTTAAACAAATAAATCTTAAAAACTAATCCTGCAAAACATTAACATTTGATGACCTCAAAGTATCAGAATTGCTTGTATTAGTCTCTGAATTTTCCCCAGAATTTAAAATAAACATTTTCACATTTATTTGTGTGTTCACAAGCACACAAAAGTACAGGTTCCTACAGGGGCCAGAAGCATCAGACCCTCTAAAGCACATGCCACGGGACACATGCAGAAATCAGGGTAACTGTGCAAGTTGGTTCTCTTCCCACCATGTGAGCCCTGGGTGTCAAATCCAGGTCGCTGAGGCTGGACAGCAAGGACTCTCTTAGCCACTGCGCCACCTCTCCAACCCTCAGTCACCAGGTACAGAGGTACATGCTGTAATCTCGGCACTCCTTAGCAGGAGAGCTTCAATTTCAAGGCCAGCCTAACTCTACACAGGGAATTACAGAACAGCCAGAAATGTGTAACAAAACTAGAATGACAGACACATATAGAAAAAAGGTATTTGTACTCACTTGTAGCCACATAGCCTAGCTGTGGAACCAAATGCTCGTCCGCTGAATTCTCTCGACCCGGGACTAATCTCTGGTACTTAGTGGGATGAGGGTTCCCGTCCACATCCACCAGGAAGGGCGGGGGCATGAGGTGAGGGGCCTGCTGTGTCTGCTCGTCCAGCACATAGTTATTGGAGTCTCTGATGAGCGGCCGGTAGTCAGTGTGGAAGAACATCTGCTCAGGAATCTAGAAGAGCCACAGTTGTTAATGCACCTGAGACCGCAGTCACAGACAGTGATGTTAAATAAATACATCTGAGACCGCAGTCACAGACATGATGCTAAAGCTACTTAAGATTAGATGGACCAGGACATTGAATAACTGTTTTCAAACTTTCTCTCCCAACTACTCATTTTATATGGTACAAGAAAGCATTAAAAAATGACCTTTTCATATGGTTTGCTGCATCCAAAACCAAATATCAGAAGATGCCCATGAGAGTCTGTGCAGGCAAAATGCTGTCCATCCTGGGAAAACTTACAGTCAAACACAGCTCCGTGTCCTTGTCCTTCGATCTAGGAGAGCCAGGGGAAAGCATGTTAGGCGCAGTGACAAGCTGCTGGTTTCAGCACTTTGTACCTGACCGACTGATTCAGAGCACACCCCACCCCATGACCAGCACAGGCCACAGGGGCACAGAGCACCCAGAGCTGGCAGGGCAGGCAGCTGTCCGCACAGCCTGAGTACCGAACAGCAGACCCGGCGTCCCAGCCACTGCAAGCACTATAACCGGCTTTAGCTTCACGGTACTCTGTGTGGGGGTATTTTGCCTACACGTTTATGTGCTCCATGTTCACACCTGATGTGTCAGAGGTCAGAAGAAAAAACACCAGATCCCTAAGAGTGAAATGATGGTGGTGAGCCTCCAATGGGTGCTGGGAATCAAATCCAAGTCCTCTGCTAACGCAACAAGTTCCTAAGCACTGAGCCATTACATACTGAGCAAGGAAACTCTGCTGGACTCCTTTAACATGACATCTGTCTACACTATATTATTCTCCTTGAACTTTGCTGTAAGAGACATCGCATCCAGAAAAAGTCCTCAAAGATCTAATCATTACTCTCAAAACCATCAAATGAACACATAAAAAAACAATTCAAAGCTTTCTTAATTTCACACAAGTAAATGGCATTTACTTTTATTAAGCTGTTTTAATATGTAAGAGACTAACACCCTACGCGTCCATGACTAGAGAAGTAGCGTTCAGGCTTCTCTGGAGACTAACCTGGCTCTCACTCGCAGACAGACTGCTGACGCGGGCGGCCACAGGCCACTCGCACTCACACTTGTGCTCACCTCACTGCAAACTTCCAGTTTTCACCAAAAAATGCTCTTGTGTGTCAAGCGTGAGAATTCTTTCCAATTCTTTAGCCTGCTTCAGCTGTCTCTCCGAGTTACATTTGGTTGGGGAATGGAACAGTATACCACAATGCAATAGCGTTCTAGACTTGATTCTCCAGGACTTAACTTGGAGGGAAGTGTGCTCAGCACTGGGGGCTTGAAACACCAGACTGCCAGATGTGGTAGTGTACACCTCTGGTCCCAGCACGCTGGGACAAGGAGTGTGGGAGGGTCCTCTGAGTTCTAGAGAGTAAGTTCCAGGACACCGAGGGCTACACAGGAAAAGCCTGTGGTATGTCCCACTAGTTACAGCACAAATACCTACCCAGTGGCCAAGCAAGCCAAGAAAGGGGTGGCACACTCATCAGTACAGGTTAGCAGACATGAGATAAAGTCATCCAAGAGCCAGTAAGACAGCGCAGTGGTAAAGGCACCCTTTACCAAGCCTGGCACCCTGGGTTTTCTGCCTGGCCCACACGGCAGCAGAGAACACTCCAACTCGTCCTCTGCCCCGCACGTGGACGCTGTCAGGGGCATGCTCACACGCACGCACAGGAAGTAAACGCATGCACGGGACCCTGCGCGCCTTCCAACACCCAACTAACACTCGGGGCCTACTGCAACCTCATCCCAGCAGCACAGGGCCCAACTTGCCTCCTGGTAATCTACCCCTGGCCAAGAACTCCAATCACAGAAAACTGAAGAAAATGCCGAGGGCAGAGCACCTGAGAACAGCCAGGATCCTACCATACACACTGGCCAAGTCACACCAAAAGGATTCCCAGGGTCACGCTCCGCACCGTTTCCCAAAATGAGAAAACCACCTAAGCAAAGCAAAGCAAACCTGAGTTCCCTCTGGAGTCTGTGTGTTCTACAGTGGTTCCTAGAGACACAAGCTCAACTCTTCCAGAACTTAATATCTGGGTGTCCTCCGCACCCCTCAAGGTTTTCACAAAGCACAAGCTCAGTTCCCCAACACCCTGCTCTTCAGGGAGCCCAAGCTCAAGTACCAGCACCTACATCCAGCTGCCCACAACTGCCTGTAACTCCAGCTCCAGGCAATCTGACACCCTCTCTGCTCTCTCCATAGGCATCCAGACATACATATATATGCAGACCAACACACCAACACAAAAGATTAAAATCTTAAACAAAAAGCAATTCTAGCTTCTCAGATGGACAATGACGTATCATCATACAGGATTGATTCTTCTTTGTGTAGAGATTATTCAAATATATTCTGTTAAGGTTTGAATTAATATATTTTGTTTTAACAAGTTAAATTCAAATTACAATATTCTGGAGCAAGCCACAGTGGCATACACCTTTAATCTCGACCCTCAGGAGGCAGAAGCAGAAGGCTCTCTTTTGAGTTTCAGGCCAGCCAGACCCACATCGCTAGTTCCATGCTAGGCAGGGCTACACAGCAAGACCCTGTCTCAAAAAAAAAAAGTAAATAAATGTTCTTATTCTTACTAACTCACTGAGGTCTTCCTAAACATTGCATTACTGTAGTTTTTCTTTTTTCATGAGACAGTAACTTCAGATGTAAGCTCTTGTATGTTTGTGTTTTGAGACAGGGTCTCATATCCAAGTCCAAGCATAGAGACAGGCAGATCTCCAAGTTTGAAGCCAGCCCAGTCAACAAAGTGAGTTCCAGGAGAGCCAGGGTAACAGAGAGAAACCCTGTCTCAAAAAAACAAAACAACAAAGAAATAAAAAGAAAGAAAGAAAAAAAAGGAGGAAAGTATTCAGAGTAAAGACGCTGGAATATAGAGCGTCTATATACCAGGTCTATATAGAATGTAATATAGAATGTGTCATGTTAACTGGGCGAGGGAGTTCACGTCTGTAATCCACCTGAGAAGGTTAGAGGGTCCAGGTCATCCTCAGCACAGGAACTGGAGGCCAACCTAAGTTCAGAGACTCCAACAAGGTGAGACAGCATGCACTTCTCAAACTCACACCTGCCTATAACTCAGCTCAAGTAGACCCCCACACATCCAGCCCGCACAGACCCCAACACTCACCACACACACGACACATAAGTCATAATGAAATGAATGTAAGAACTCCCATGCCGACACAGGATGGGATGGCCTCAAGCAAGTCACAGCGTCTATTATGCTGCCTCCAAACTAAATAGCATTGACGTGAGACTCAATATAAACCGCCAAAATAATTTCTTTTAATGAACTATATAAAAATACTGAAAAGCTTAAATATGTCCGTATCTTACACATTCCAAGCTGAGAACACTGAGGAATGGATCTCAGGTTTCACACACACAGTCCCAGACGCATCCCCAGGACCAGAACATCTCTGTGAAAATCTGTGAGGGACTGAATGACACTCTGTAACGTCTGCTCACGCTCACCTGGTGCTACAGGCAGCAAGGAGAAAACAACAAAAGCAGGCTACTGAGAGGCAGCCTGGCAACTCAGCACAGACTGTCCATGGCCATCTGCAAGTGGGTTCTGGCCCAAGGAACAAGCTATTGCTTTGGAAGGCACTGGGGCAACTAATCTGGACCTGGAGTCTATTACAGCCATAAATCCTATGGCAGCGTCGGCTCGGTCTCCAGTCAGGAGCTACGCAGCTAAGGGCACGAGTCCCTCCTGCACAGCGCCCAGAGTTCAATTCCCAGCACCCACATGGCTCACAACCGTCTGACTCTCCAGTTCCAGATATCTGCTGCTGTCTTCTGGCCTCTGTGGGCACTGCACATACAAAATAGATTTAGAAGACATAAAAAGTAAACACACTGAAGTCAGCACAGAAATGAAAAGCTGTCTCCGTAACTTGTGAACGTCCATCAGTTTAAAGAAGTCACACATGTGCACACATGCCTTCAGACTCTCGGCAAGACTCAGTCACCCTTGATATGTACAAAGGCTGCCATGGCATGGCAGTCAACTTCTTGCTAACTCTCATAATCCAAAAAGCAAGTAAGAAACTCAGTTCACTTACCATGTTAAAATAATGTTTCACCTTGGTGCCTTTTGTAATATCCCATATAAATATGCTGCCATCGTGTCCTGCAGATAACATAATTCTGGAATCAAAGGGATGTGTCTCCAAAACAAACACTTCATCAGCATGTCCCTTTATTCAACAAAGTCATAGTATTAAGGACAGTTCACAAGTTATATGCTGGAAATATTTTTAAAGTCACACTACATGAGAGCTTTAAAGTTTTTAATGTATCCTAGCGACAATGACCTACACATTTTTATATACACATGTATATAAAAATTCCCAGTCATCTGAATCACTTAAACAATTCAGTATAGTTGCAACAGCAACGTTATACTTTCAAAGGAGAGAGTTTAAGTAGGGAGGTGCTGGAGAAAGGCCCAGTCCTCGGAGCACAAGTCCCAGCACCCATTTTCAGCTCTGCCGTGACTCAGGTTCCAGGGCAGAAAGACCCTCTGCACAGTTACATAGAATTAAAAATCATCAGGAATGAACATTTTAAAAAGTCTGGATGTGGTATGCACACCTTTAGCCCCGGGACTCGAGGCAGACACATCTATGAGTTCACAGCCAGCCTGGTCTACAAACAGAGTCCAAGACCACCCAGCCAAGGTTACAGAGAAAATCTCTATCTCAAGAAACAAACAAAACAAAACAAAAAACAGGTTCAGGGTCACCAATCCTTTGAGTTAGAACCAGGCTATTCTAGATAGAGTTCCAAGACAACCAAGCTACACAGAGATCCTGGCTCAAAACCAAAACAAAAAGTTTAAAGTTTTTTTGAGATACACACCAGGTTGAAAGTCAACCCAGCATTGTGAGAAGAGAAGAGAAGAGAAGAGAAGAGAAGAGAAGAGAAGAGAAGAGAAGAGAAGAGAAGAGAAGAGAAGAGAAGAGAAGAGAAGAGAAGAGAGAAAAATATAAAGATTCTGAGCTGGAAGTGGTAACACCAGCTTTAAATCCCAGAGCACAGCAGGCAAAGGCAGGAGGATCTCTGAGTTTGAGGCCAGCCTGGTCTACAGGGTGAGTTCCAGGACAGCCAGGGCTACATAGAGAAACCCTGTCTCAAAAAAACCAAAAACATAATTAAAACAAATCAAGTAAGAAACTCTGGGGTTAAAGAGATGGCTCCGTGGTGAGCACCTGTTCTTGACCCAGGTTTGGTTCCCAGAGCCCACATGGTAGCTTCTAAACGGACTTTAGCCAGGGTGATCTGACACCCTCTTCCGACCTCTGTGGGCACCAGTCACACACACAGTACACACACATGCAAACACTATACACATAAAAACACATGTGAAACAACTGATAGAACAGGTTAAACGTTCTGAGCTCTCATATCAAGTTGAAAGCACCTACCAGTAGGTTATGGAGCAGCTGCCCAGTGTAAGAGTCCCACACTTTGAGGACGTGATCGTTCACAGCAGTGACGACAATGCTGTCGTCCTGATTCCAAGCTATCATTGTGACTTTGGGTTTCATAAACCTCTCTTCTTCGGAAGACGTGTCTCTAACAAGACAAAAACACCGAGTAAGCTCACTCAGATGGCAGATCGCACCCGCGGCAGTGGCACACACCTGTGGTCCCAACACTGAGGAGGCAACCAAGTGTGTGTGAGTTCCAGGCAGCCTGGCGTACGCAATGCGTTCCCGACAGCCAGGGCTGCACAGAGAGAGCAAAACACTGAGGAGGCAACCAAGTGTGTGTGAGTTCCAGGCAGCCTGGCGTACGCAATGCGTTCCCGACAGCCAGGGCTGCACAGAGAGCAAGCAGCTCACAAGGTACACAGTCCCTCAGCACAAATACAACAGAAAAAACGGCCAGATGAAGTTCAGCTGGCAAAGCGCATCTCGCATTCAGTGCGGGTTTGATCACCAGCCGTAAAACCACACATGGTGGTGAAAAGCCTACAACTCTAGCAGGTGGGAAGTGGAGGAGAGAATTGTATGTTTAAGGTCAGCTTATGCTACATGAGACCAGCAGGAAAGCGGAGAGGGTAGGGAGGTACGCATGTGTCCACTTATCCCTAATAAACTACCTTCAAGAGGTTAGGGCAAAGCCAGGGGAGAGGGTAATTACAAATAACACAGCCAGGGCGGGACCTTGGACACCACTGCCACTTATAAATACACAAAGTTCTCCTGTTCCCACCCCACAACTGACTGCTAATTTTCTGTCAACTGTTTCTCCAGAGATCTGGAAAAAAAAAAAAAAAAAACCCTAAACTGCTAAAAGTGTAGGAAGTGAGCTGAGCCACGGCTCTCTGCTCTCACAACGAAGGTAATGTGACCAACCACTTCAATCTCTGCCACCACTTTGGCTGCTTCTGTCAGGATATTTTATCACGGGGACACAAAGGAAACTAAGGCATGACAAACGCTTTGAACAGGTACCTACATGAGAATAAAAGAGAAAAATAACCAGACAAAGCAGAGAATAATGCACATCTTTCAAATCCCACCATTTGGGAGGTTTGTTATTTTTGGGGGGAGTGAGAGTAGACAGGGTCTCTCTATGTAGCCCTGGCTTATCCTGGAACTATGTAGACCAAACTCACAAAGACCCACCTGCTTCCTCAGGGCTGGGATTAAAAGTATGTACCACCATACCCAGCATCAAAGCCACTTTATAAGACTCTGGGTAGGGCCAACTGTTTAAAAATTAAATAACAAGCTATATTTGCTTATTATGTTTTCCAGTCTCCAAGAGAGCGACTGGTTTTTGTTTGTTTGTTTGTTTGTTTGTCGTCATCATTGTTTTTCATTTACTTATACATGTCCGGGGGAGCAACCAGCAGTAGAGCACCAGTAGCAGCAAAGGCTACCTTGGGTACTGTGACGAGAGTTGTCTACCTGACAAAATCTAGAATGGCTCAGGAGAAGAGTCTCCATGAGGGACTGTCTAGATGAGGTGTTACCTTAATTGGAGCTGGCACATCTGCCCACTGCAGGCAGCATCCATTCCCTAGGCAGAAATCCTGAACTACGTTAGCTAAGAGGATCCAAATACTGAGCTACATGCAGTCATGCAGGCATTTCTTCTCCCCTGCTCTTGACAGTGAATGTGAATAGCTCCTTAGAGTTCCTGTCATCATTTTCCCACAATGGAATGTAAATTATAGGTCAAATAAGCCCTCTCTTTCCTAAGCTGCTCTGTGTCATGGTATTTTAACCAGCAACACCAAAGAGTCAATTCTAGCCAGGCAGCAAAGGTAAACATCATAGTCCTGTGCTCTCAGCACCTGGGCCAACACTCTGCTACCAAAGGGAAAAAAAAAAAAAGTCTGTTCCAAGCAACCCATATCAAATTCCTTTTTGTTGTTTTGTTTTTTTCAAGACAGGGTTTCTCTGTGTAGCCTTGGGTGTCCTGGACTCACTTTGTAGACCAGGCTGGCCTCAAAACTCACAGAGGTCCGGAGTGCTGGGATTATAGGCATGCATGCACCACACCTGGCTAAAAGATGGAGGCAGGCTTGCCTCCGCCTCCTTCAGCGGTGTGCACCTCCACAACCAGTGAAATTCTTTTTAAAATCCCATCTTTAAAAATGTAAATTTTAGGGCTGGAGAGATGGCTCAGCCGATAAGAGCAGTTGTTGCTCTTGCAGAGGACCTGGGTTCGGTTCCCAGCACCCACATGGTGGCTCACAACCATCTGTAACTTCAGACAGCACCACATGTATGGAGGCAACACACACACAATTTAAAAAAAGGAATAAATCTAAGAAAAAAAAATGTAAATTTTAAACACTGGGAATAACTTGGTTGGGATTCCCCCCTACACTGGAGGTTTTAAACACAAATCCTAAAAAGAATGTAACCGTAGGCAAAGTGAAGGTCCATTCTATGTACCTGACTGAAGAATACTTGGCTGGGTGCCTGTGACAGTTATAGCTATGGAGACCATGAGGACGCTGGCTAATCACACAACGGGTTCATATGACGGAAGCACTGGGAGATGGGGAGGGTAGGAGGCTGAGTGAGAGGCAGCAGCTCGCTGCATGCATGCATGTCATAGGGCCTATGTCCTCTCCTGGGCTATTCCCTGTCCCTCTGCTCTCTGCTTCCTGAACCAACACAGTGTAGACCGCTCTGCTCTGCCACATCCCCCCTTCCATGATAGATTGAAGCTCCTCAAACTATGAATCAAAATAAATCCTTTCTCCTTTACTCTATTTTCTGGCAAATGTGGTCAAAGTAAAAAATACACATGTACTTTCCTTCATTAATTCAGCTATCAGACTGAAGTATTTTAAAACACACAATGGTCAGTTCACGTAGACAAGCTACTCATCATAGGACTTACCCTGAGATTCTGGTAGCCATATCCAGTAAAATGCTTCTCCATTCCAACTGTTCAAACCTCCAAATCCGTGCTGTTCCATCTCTGCTGCCACTTAAGAACCTTGAGACATTAGGAAACTCTACTCACACGCTGGCTACCAAGTGCCAGCTCTAACAGCAAGTGAAATACAGATTTAAAGAGCGGTCTTGACAATATCTACAGGGTTAGTCAGACTCTTCGGGCATGGCTGGATGGGGAGGACAACCCAGATTTACAAAGCAGAACATGCTATAAACATAGTTGTTTCTTAAGCACAATGAGTTTTGGAAAAACAATTTAATACAAGAGGGGGAAAATATACCTTCAAGAGGGGGCAAAAGATGTGGGAAGATTGGCAGCACCAGAAACGCCATCTTAAGCTTGTCCTTCTTTAACTTAACAGACATTGAATATAAACTATGAAATTCAAGCTTTAAAACCAGCCTTATCCTACATTCAGAAGGCAGCTGCCATGTGTAGTATCAAATCCTTGCCCTTGACAGCTTTCAGTTTTTTCTTAACCTTTTTTGGGAATCAACCTCCAGGTAAGAGCTACTCTTGATCCCAGCAGCAGGCACCCAGCTCTAACTCTCACACAGCATGCTCTATTCATTCATTGCTGAAACGCACTGCAATGCACAAGATGAAGCCAGAATAGTCAACAGTACAGTGTGATGTTTCCAAAACTGCTGCGAAGATTTCAGTACCAGAAAAGAAAGTATGGGATGGCATTACATCTCAGCAGCAGAGCACTGGCCTACCACGCACCAGGCAGGTTCTACATCAGGATCAACCACCACCACCAAGCTGGTGCAGTGATACATCCATTAGATTGAATCCATCATTCGAAGTGCCATTATACCCCAAAATAAAAATTAAACTGCATATAGTAATGTGAAGCAAAGCAGTATTTCCTAACTAGGGCAGTAAGTGATGTTATCTGATACACGGGAAAACACAGAGGTGCAGTGAACACTTACCGGTCACCATTGTTACAAAACTGGATACTATCAACTTTATCCTAAAGAGACAAAAGCAAACAGGAAAACGATTACTTACATTATATCAATTCAGTGCTACAAAACTGGATACTATCAACTCTGTCCTAAGAAACAAAAGCAAATAGGAAACCGATTATCTAAGTTATATCAATTCACTGTTACAAAATTGGATACTATCAACTCTGTCCTAAGAGACAAAAGCAAACAAGAAAACGATTGGGTACATAAAGAGTCCTTGTTTCCAAGGACTGAATACCTTGGTTTAACAGCAAACCAATCCCTGACCTGGCCAATCACTCTATCTGTGTCACATCTACGGAAAGCCAAAAGCTGCTAGAGGTCCCTTGAGAGTGCTAAGACCTTTTCAAGAGAACCACACTCAAAGATAAAGACTGGCATTCCAAACTATAGCTGTGTTTAAAATGACAGCACACTTAGAAAGCAAAGAAAGGTAACATGTGCAATGTGATCAAAACAGGCTTTATTGAAGCCAAAAAGATGCTGCAAAACAAAACATGTCATTCAGCACGACCTAAACCTATCTACTCACTACATAAGCTCTGAATATGGACTGCTTAGGACTGCTGTTCCTAAGGCACACACGGTTCTCGAGACCACGTGGGTAGTTCCAGTTCCAGGAAGTCTGACCCTCTTCAGTCCTCAAAGGCTATTAGGCAAACAAGTGGTTCATAAACACACAGACTTCAATGTGTACAACTGATTTTTAATGGAAGTTTTAAAATGTTTTCTTGCTGTGTGTGGCCTGTCTGAGTGTGCATGTGCACATGCACATGAAAGCCTGAAGTACACACTGAGTGTCTTCCCCTACCCACCCCACCTTAGACATTTGAGCCCTTCCCGGAACCCAGTACCATGGCAGCAAAATGGAGCTTCAACGACACCCCGAGTGTCTCCACCCTCCAGCAGGGCGCACACCCACGTCTCCGTATTTGCACAAAAGCACTTTACCCAGTGAGCATCCTGCACAGTCACACTTTCCCTTAGAGAAAACCTAGCCCTTGACAATACTCTAAAATACTAGTAACAACAGCTAGCCATTGCTGTGATGCTCTTGTGCAATGTACACATTTACAGTTCACATGCTGATTTCTCTCCCCCACCATCAGGTGTCAATCCTGACATTGCATGGTGTTTATTCTAAGCATCACCTGTCTCAAGTTTGTGTAAACATGCCACCGTTTGTTCTCTGTATTGTCAATAAAACGACCAGCCAGTGCTGTGCAATGGGGAGAATAGGGTGGGACATCCTGGTCCAGAGAGGAGGGGAATGAAGGGACAGGAGCAGAGGTTAGCAGGAGGATGAACCACAAGGAGGATGAGAAGGACCTAAGATATGACTAAAAGCAAGTATAATGAAGGAAATCTAAATGGTAGGAAACTATGCAGGCTTGGAGGTTTAGGACAGTTACTATTGCCCAGCATTGTGCTCTAGGTTAATTAAATAAATCCCAGTCTCTGTGTGGTGATTTGGGTATACAGGTGGTTTAGGAATAACTGCTGGTTAACTAAAAGATAAATCAATAATAAATATTAATAACCCATAACAGCTAGCTTACTAGACATTCAAAGAGCATTCTAACTTCATGACCTTGGTTAGAAGAATAGCTTTGCGTATGAGCCATTAAGATTGTCATAGTCAATATTGGGCTAAAGCCAACCAAGGACCACGCATAGACTGGCCCTAGGCCCCTACACATATGTACCCGATGGGCAGCTTGGTCTCCACGTGGGTTCCCTAGGGGAATGGGAGCTGTCTTTGACAAGGACTCTGTTGTCTGCTTTTCAATCACTCCCCCCTACCCCCACCCACAGCAGGGCTCCCTGGCCAGGCCACCATGGAAGATGTGCGGGGGAGGAGGGGAGGCTCTCCTTTTCTAAGGGTAAAGGAAGGGGGATAAGGATAAGAGGAAGGGAAGGTGGGATGTGAGGAGAGGAGGGAGAGGGCTACGATTGGGAAGTGAATAAATTAATTTTTTAAATGCATTATTCCCATTCATCTGACCTGGCAATGATTTCCCTCTGTCCATCCTCTGAGCAGAGTAAGGATCATCCTGTACCTGAACATCTTCATCGTTAGGTGAGGCTGAGACACACGCAGCTCAATGTAGACTCAAGCCACTGCATCTGCAGTTAAGGATGGCCCTGTACTCCTTCTACACTGGAGGCTTCCCAAGAGCCAGGATTATAGACATGACCCACATACTCAGCTCTGGTTTATAAACACACAACTTCTCTAAACTTTTAACTGTTTTAGCTGTGAATGTGCTTAGACTATCACACTAGGGCAAGAGGGCAGCAGCAGCAAAGCCTTAGCTAGCATGTGTGGCCACAGTTCAATCAATGCCCAGCACTGAGAAGAAAAATATAATAAACAATGACATCTCAGACGGGCAAGTGACGCCGGGCATGGTGGCCACGCTTTAAACCCAGAAGCAGGCGGATCTCTGTGACTTCAAAGACAGCCTGGTTCACAGGGCAAGTTCCAGGGCAGCCACTGCTATACAAGAGAGCCCCCGTCTTGAAGAAAACAAGAAAGAAGGAAATGCAAGTGACTTCGTGCTTCAAAGTGTAACTACTCTGCAGGTGACACAGCTGGGCAGCTGCACACAGCGGCGCTCGGCAGGTGGCATGTGTGCAAGGGCTGTTCAAGCCCAGCATGGTGGGTCAACCGCAGAGTGGCGCCCTGGCCGAGGGGTGATCAGCAACTGCTAGGTGACTACAGGCACATACACTGCTAAGCTGACCATGCTCCCAGAAGGCCACCCATCCAAGAACATCTGGGCAGCACAACCTGGCCCTGACTGGGGCTAGGAGGAAGATGCCAAAAAGCTGAGTATGAAGAGTATAAGGGAAGGAGTACGGTTCAAACACATACAGATTGTCATAAACAACAGATTGGAAGGAAGGAGGAAGGATAGGATAAATGGAGATGATGGAGAGATGATGGACGGTGGATGGATGATAGTTGGATGGATGAAATCTGACTCTCATCAGATGTCTCTACAAATAAGGAGGGTAGGGCTGGAAAGATAGCTCATCAGTTAAGAGCACATAGTATTCTCTGAGAGGACCACAGTTCGCAGAATTCAGCCATGTGGAGCAGGCTCCTGCTGCCTGCAACTCCAGCTCCCAGGGATCTAGCCAACTCCTTTCTAGCCTCATGTGGACATACCACCTTACCAACAGACCAGCATGTATACATACACCATTTTAAAAAAAGAAAGAAAAGGAAGTAGACCCAAGTGGCACCTGTAACTCTAGCACTCAACAGGCAGGCTGAGGGAAGAGGATGGGGAGTTTGGAAGAGACAACTGCAAACAGAAGAGAGCAGATCCTAGCTTAGAAAGCCTAAAGGGAGAAAGTAAATATTTTATTTAAAATAAAAATAATCTGTTAAAGGAGGAGGAGGAGGAGAATGACAAGAAGATGACGAAAACAGTTAAGATTAGTAAAATCGGCCTTAGTAGTAAAAGAATCAATAAATTTAGAGAATTTTAAAAAAGAATGCTTACCGTGTGGCTCTCAAGTTCAGCAATTTTTTCAGGTGCTTCAAAGCCCAAAAAATACATTCTGATTACATGGTCAGTACTACCTGTAGCTAAAAACATGCCACCTGAAACAAAAATGCAAACGTTTAAATGTGTAGCTTGCAACGAATACACCAACAAACAAATGTCTATACATGTAAAAGAAAGCTCTCTTACACTGAAATTAGGGTTCTCTCCACAACCCCGCCCAGCTCATTAAATGAGCGTACAGAGCTCAACTCTTGGCTTCAGAGAAAAGGTTACTCCTGCCGGGCTTTACGGACAAGGCAGTGCACACTGGGCGTCAGGTCCCTGAAGACAGGGACAGGGCAAGCTCTTGCCGCCTGAGAACAGGCTTCAGGATACAGAGCTCACCTGTAACCCTTTCACCCACTTCCTGAGGAAACCACACTGGGCCTAGGCTACAAAACTTAAAAACTCCTCTGTGCAAGAAAAAAAATAAGGGAAATAATTTCACCATGATTCAGCGTCCATTTTTTTTTTTTTAAGATTTATTATTTATTCAATGTTCTGTCTGTATATAGGCCTGCACACCAGAAGAGGACACCAGATCTCACTATAGATGGTTGTGTGATTACTGGGAATTGAACTTGGGACCTCCGGAAGAGCAGACAGTGCTCTTAACCTCTGAGCTATCTCTCCAGCTCCCCTGCATCAAATTTAAACATATTTATTTAGGCAAAATATAAGAAACAATATCCTACAAGTGGCCACGTGATTCTAGAACAGTCTATATGACACTGTGAGCTTCCTGGCTGGGAACTATGTCTTCCATTTCCATGACTGAATACTGCCAGACATCAAAAGGAAGAAAGGGGGAGCAGGAGAGGCTGGCAACACCCCTCCTTTGTCAAGCCTATACACATGCTCTCAGCTGAGTACTTAAAAATCTCCATTAATGATTACTCAGTCAACTCCAGAAATAACGATCGTAAGTCAGAGCTAATAATATGAAAAACAGAAGTCACCTGTTGCCTTTCTAACTGAGCACATGCTAAAATAACTAAGGAAAAACAAGCCTCAAGTATTATCTTACCAACGCTAAATGAAGAGCACAGCATCTGAACACCAGGCCTTGGCTTCTCCGTGAACTTCAGGGGCCGTGGGCTTTAAAAGAAGACCGTATATGCCTTTAGAATACATGCTAACACTTTAATAAAGCCCTGGCAGTTTCTCTATGATTACTGTGTGCACACGCACATGTATGGGGGCACACGTGCATTGGTGCACTCTGCAGGTGGGGACCATGGGAGGCAGGGGACTCGGGCCATCAGGTTTTACCCACAGGACCATCTCACTGGCCCTCAACTGCTCTTCAGACCTACCATATCAACACTGAGAGTAGTTCCCTGCACCTGGAACTACTGTCCAACTACTAGACTGCTTGCTTGCCACAGGCAAAGTTTGGGTTTGGTCACGAACACCACATAAAGCCAGATTTGGTGGCGCACACCTGTAATCGCAGCACTCTGGGAGGCAGAGGTAAACGGGACCAGCCTGGTCTACAAAGGGAGTCCAGGACAGCCAAGGCCACACAAACCGTCTCAAAAAACCACCACATAAGGGACAAACCCAAGTGTACTATGTCCACATTCTTCTATGTGAGTATGCCAACGAGAGGCTTTTAGAGTCCTAACCCTGCTCCTGGGTGACAAAGCGCATCTCTATCAGTCGACAGTTGCCGTGAAGAATGCTGAGGCTGGGCTGCATTACTACATCAGACACGGCATTCACAGCGAATGTGTTCTCTCCGTATCTGCTCACCAACATGGCAACAACAGCAAACATACGCATAAGACACACTCATCAACTTCTGCCTTAGTGTCACAAAGCTTTAATACCAGCACTCAAAAAGGCAACTGGATCCCTGTGAGTTAGAGAACAAGTTTTAGGACATCCAGAGCTATACACTGAGACCAGCTAAAACGGTTTTCTCCTTAATTATTTTTTACGTCCTCCACAAAGTGAATAAAGTGAATCTCAGCTCCTCTTGTGCACCACTACACTAAGTACACAGCACTCGGCCTGTGCCAGTTCTCCAGCAGCCCAGGCTCCTGGATCCAGTGCTACTGTCCTCATTCTAATTAAATACCTCTCCACTGCTACCACTTTAAATTCGTATCTATTGTTTGAATTTGCTTACACAGAGACGAGCAAAGGGAAAAAATCATTTAAGCTTTTCTGTTGCAGTGGCATTGATGTATAACGCATATGCAGTAACTAACAAACGAACAAAAGAAGAAAATTTCCTCTTAGAATGTCACCACTATATTAAAGAACAGCAACTACAACATAGGATCACTCACCTGAATTTCAAGGACTCTAAATCCCACTGCCAAAAGCACACAGTCCCATCAGCACCAGTGGAAACCATATATCTCTGAGGTCCTTTGGCCATAGGGCTAAACTGAAAATCAAAACCACATGAATCACCTTCCATCTTGCTATTTCTCAGTTCCAAAAGTCACGCTTAGTGTCCTAGGCTGGCCGTTACCTGCAGAGACGTAATCGAGCCTGTGTGTCCTTGCAGCACAGCGACTGGGGCGCAAGTCCTCAGGCACCACACCCTGATGATCTTGTCACAGCTGCCGGCGGCAATCAGTGTGTTCTCGTAGTTCACAGCCATGTCTGAGATTTCTGCTGAATGGCCTCTTAACGTAGACAACAAGCGGCCATTGTGTGTTGACCAAATCTTTACCAAACAATCATCTGAACCCTAAGAAAAAACAACACCCCAATACAAATGTTAACACAGCATCTATTAAACCCAAAGAACAGAATGATACCACCCAGATGAACTGATAACCCTCCCCTGTCCAGCCAAGTAGAGCAATTCCACTGTCTTCCAAGTCCTATCATTTCTGGTCAGGTTCTTCTCTGTACTATTTTCACAAAGTTCTCTCCCAAGAACGTCCCACCCTAAGTTCCTGTTCCCAATACCAGCTGCAGAAGCAAGTCAGGTCGGCAAGCTACACTGGGACAGCTCTACATCCCTGGGACTCCACTGTAGGGGAGAAAGCACCCAAGTTCCAAATAAGCAAACAAGAGTCTCAAGTTTACAGTCCCCAAACCAGGCAGCACACATAACCCAGCATAGCTGAGTACGTTTTCAATCCACTGTTTTCTTCTCCTAAAAACACAGGGGAAGTCACATTCTATAAATAGTTTTCAAATAATCACTTGGACACAGAAAGATTATTTCATAATGAATCTGGTTTCCTAAACCAGTGATTAGTCTACGAAAGCATGAGCAGCATCAGCAGCAAGCATGATCTGGGAATTCTGAGGGAGTGAGTAGGAATATTTTTATTAATGTGCTTAAAATTAATCTTGATATAACTTCATCCCTTAAGTCTCAGCTGGGCTAAACGGGAAGTGTTTGGTTATGTACTTTGTATTATCTGAGAGCACAGCATATATCCCAACAGAGCTGGAGAGAGAGCTCAGCAGCTATCTTGAGGCAGGATCTTGTCAGGCCTCAGTCTGTCACCGCCGCAGTAGGTCCGCCAAAGTTCTTCAGTGTGTTGGAACCACCAGTCTCAAAACAACGCAGACCTGACTATGTTGCTCAGTCACTTGAAACACTTATCGAGGCCCTGTAGGAGACCTCCCTGATCAAAATCTCTGTTCTCTAGGCTATATGAGAGAACTGTGACGCGCACTACAGCACTCCAGGTGGCACCAAGTTGAGTAAGATGTTAACTCACTGTAAAGATTCTATGTCCTGTCCTATCAAACGCTACACAGTACACAGCAGACAGGTGTCCAAGAATCCTCCTGTGCAGCTTTATATGCTGGTACATCGTTCCTGGGAATGCTGTGCTAAAAGTGGAACACCCTGTGAGCTGTTTTCCTCGATGGATCTCCACTAGGAAATAAAAACAACGGAAATGGTTAAGGGGGAGCCGATACATAAAAACTATAAAAGACCCCACAACAATTTCCAGAAGGTAAGTAACCAGGCCTGTTTGAGAAACCCAAAGAACTTGTGCTTTGTCCTCAATCCTACTGTGCTAACCCTAACCTCTACGATTGTGCTCAGTTATCTTTACACAAGTCAGGAAGAAAGCTGACAGTTGGTACTGTTGCAGTAACAGTCCACCAGCACTTCCTCAGCATGTACAGTCTTCATGAAATTCAAGAAACAGTTGGGCATCTCACAGGCCAACCTCACTCACCAAGACTCGGTGGGGAGCCGTAATTCACGGGCATTTCAGGAGGTCTTCCTCTGTGAAGCGCGGCAAAGGCAGAGCCCCTCCACACTGTGTGCCTGCAGTCTTTAAAATGAATTTTAGATACACATAAAATCTTGAAAGTTAACCCAAAGAAAGATTTTATACAATACTTACGTATATTGTAATCAACTGTTTATTCAAAGTTTGACCAGCTAACATACTTTAACAGAAAAGCCCAGAGGTTTATTATGCTGTCTCTGAGAGTGAACTTGAAGCATCTCGGGTACAGCAGCAGTGACCCTGACAGACAGTACTTTACAGTCCAGCAGGCGCTTTCCACATACATTGGCTCACGGGGCCCTCACAACAACCCTGTGAGGTAGGTGACCCTGCTAATGCACACGTGAAGCGACTCAGGTCCCAGGGCCTCAGAAGAGAGTCATCGCAGATGATTAGCAGATGATTACTAGGAAGGCTGGAATACGAGGTTAACTTTATTTTTCAACACAGAGTACCACATAGCACTAAAAATGAGCAGTCCTAGCACAGCTGACCCAGTTTTCAAAAGTGAAGAATTTTTTAAGAAGATATTTTCATGTATCTAAAAATCTCTGACTTGACAAATTCATTCGGTCTGAAATTTGTTTGGCCAGTACTGTCTTGCCTTGAGCTCATTAGGAAGAACTGATACTCGTTTAAGTTAAGTAACTTCCCACCTCAGGATGGAAGGCAGGTAGCTCTTCAGAAGAGCCATACACAGCACAGAGTGCACAAGCCTTCTAACCCTGCCGGCACCCAGACTAAAGGAAACGCACCAAGGACGTGCCTGGCCTCTTAAGGACACAGAAGAGCACGGGCCAACACACAGACCTGTGCTCCGCTACTTCAGAGCTGCAGAGTGAGGTGAGTCTAAAGCCCCACTGAGCCTCACGTGCCCCCAACTAGTAGGCAGGCTGTGTTTCACATGTACGGAAGGCCTCCTCTGGCACCAGCACAAAACACAAGCAGAAATAGGGCCCCTCGCTGCAGCCTCTTCCGAGTCTGACAGTTCTCACAGGTCTCATCACAAAACACTAAGCTTGAGCTTGCCCCAAGGGGAAAAGAAACGTGCTACCAGGCCACTGCTGGAAAACAAGTGAGCAGAGAATAATTACCAAGTGACAGGGACAGTTTCCTGATCAGAGCCACAGTGTGGCAAGGCGATGGGGCACCAAGAAACAGCTAAGGCTGGGAAGCTGTCAGGCATGAAACCAAGCAGCAGAGGTGTTGAAGAACTGAGAAAGGTCAGTCAGGCCTGGAGCGTCTACGAGGCAGCACCCCAGCTGCAACAGCCACAACAAAAACCACCACGATGGAACTGAGGCGTGCACCATCAAGACCAGCACACGTGCCCACAGCAGCGCAGCCATGTGTGTGTACACAGATCACCACCCGGGTGCTTAGTCTACGTCAGTCATGTGTCTCACAGAAAAGTACAGTGCTTCCAGACATTCTGCTAGCATATAACTTACCAAAAAAAAATTGTTAGTAAAAAATAAAAATAAAAGGAAATCATGCAAGTTTACATTTTTGGTGCATGTTTTTCAAGCTGCTACTGTATTTTTCAAAAAAAAAAAAAAAGAAATCACTTCTCCCCCATAAGAAAGGACTTTCAAAATCTAAATATCAAAAGAAATACTGCTAGTACTTAAAGAGTTTATTATAGACATATACAATTACATCCATTGGAGTTACGAGTGAGCTACAAAGTGGAAAACTTAAGAACTCACATTGATAAAACCTCAAGCACATCTTAAATTCAAGCATCTTACTTAACATCTATGTCTATCAATTTTTGAAGTGCAGAAGGACCCATTAAACATGAAAAATTCGACCTACACTAATTGCAGAGCACATAGTCCATGGTATTAGCTGCATCATTACCTTCCACAATCTTACACAGCTTCACAGTCATAACGTAAGCTATTAGTACAAAGCAGACACTTCTTCAAACTAAGGTACCTTTTGCAGTACGTAGCAAAGACTGCCTTCCTGCACCAAGCAAAGAAGTGACTCTTGAAATGCTGGGCGGGATTTCTTTATCCAGCATTGGGCCGAGGCGTTGGCAGATTTGCAACAGGTGATCGGGGGCCACATGCTTATTGGACAAGACCTGTCGGAGAGTTAAGTTTTTAATAACACTGCATACAGCAGTACTCAAACGTTTATATCTGTTTTAATGTGAATATCACACTGAAAAGTACAAAACACAGTAAAAAAAAAATTAAAGGCAACTTAAACAGTAAGCTAATGTCAAACACTAATCCAAATTCCACGATTTTTCTTTACAGAAATTGACAATTCTATTCGTTTTGTTTTGAGACAAGGTTTCTCTGTGTAGCCCTGGCTGTCCTGGAATTCGCTCTGTAGAACAGGCTGGCCTTGAACTCAAGAAATCTGGCCTTGAACTCAAGAAATCTGCCTGCCTCTGCCTCCCAAGTGCCAGGATTAAAGGCATGAGCCCAGGGGATGAATTTATACTAAAATTTAAATGCGAATGACACGGAAAAACCAAATCAACTTTGGGGCAGATGATCCTCCAGTTCAAGACTTGCTCTGGAGTGTCCCACCGAGACAGGAAAACACAGACCTGTGGCAGGAGCAAACTGCAGAGAGACTGGCTGGCATGGTTCTAAAGCACCCATTTCTGACAAAGGTGCAAACGTTGATTCAGGGCAGAAAACCTCTCTCAATAAATGATGTTGAAACAAGGCCGAATACCATTCCAAAAAACAATCAACGTTCAAAGTACACTTTTTGTTGTGCTTATGTATGCAGGAATGCATATTCATCAGCTGAGTCATCTCAACCCTGACCATAGAGGAATAAAACTACAGACCTATTTATTAAAAAAAATGTACACGGCGGATATATGACCATATACATTTCTGAAATAATCACTGAATAAGTTACATTTATAGAAAAGTAAAAAAAAAAAAAAAAAATCTTTATGATCTGGGCGTCAAAGATCTCCAATATCACACCAGAACAAACAACTCAAGAGTCTGCTCTTCTGGACCGCCAAGGACTTTTGCACTGAAAAGGGAATCAAAAGGTGACAGGCCAAGGGGACAACTGCAAAGTCCCATCTGGTAAAGCCCAGTAAAGCGGATGAACAGGTCGGGACCAGAGTTCACAGGAGTACTCAAAAAAACACAAACTGAACAGCTCCCAGGACTCCCCAGTAAGAATCCAACTGAGCGACATTACCAAAGGAAGGGTAACCCAGGTGGCTAATGGGTGTGAAGACCCCAAAGAGCAAAGCAATGGGCAAACACAAAAACCACTGGAGCCGCTGCTGTACCCAGTGATAAAGACTGGCTGGAGAACCTAGCCAGACACCTGCAATCCCGGCACTTTGGAAGAGGGGCAGAAGTTTTAATGCCAGTCTCAGCTACACAGTGAGTTCAAGACCATTTTGACCTATCAGACCCATCTCAAATAGCAGAAGCCAACCAAAACAAAGCAAAACAAACAACAACAAAAAAAAAAAAAAAAAAAAGGGAGAAATTTCTGATAGGTATATAAGGTACTAGATTTTGAAAACAGTTCAGCCACTCCAGTCCTGGGTATCTGACTTGAAACACATACTCAAAAGAGGCAAGTTAATGTTTTCAATGTGTCCACAACGTCTGTAGACAACTGTTTTGCCTGCACCGTGTCTGTGTGCACGCCTTCAGGTTCAAAGAGGCAGACTCTACCCTAGAACTGGGGTCAGGAATGACCGCAAGCTCCCAAACATCTGTCCCCCCAAAACCGCTGAGTCACCTCTCCAGGCCCTCTCTGGTGTAACAGCTGCTTTTTCAATTACAGTAAAAACTAATTTGCAGTAACAAATGATTTAAGTAAATACACAATGCCAGCATACCACTTAGAAAAAAAAAAAGAAAAAGAAATTAGCCAAGCACAGCCATAATCCCAGCACTTGGAAGGCAGAACTGAAGTTCAAGATCAACTTGATCTACATATCAAGTTCCAGGCCAGCCAAGGGTACAGCAGACTGTTTTAAAGACCAGAAAAGATGGCCCCACAACTCTACAGCACTAGTTAACAGTGGTCCCCAGCCGTCCTAATGCTGTGACCCTTTAATACAGTTCTTCATGTTGTGCTGACCCCAACCATAAAATTATTTCGTACCTACTTTATAACTACAATTTTGCTACTGTTATGAATCATAGTATAAATGCCTGATATGAAGGGTATCTGGTATGCGACCCCCAAAGGGGTCAAGACCCACAGGTTGAAAATTGCTGAACTCAGGGGTCAGGGGAGTTGGGACATTGTATACATGCATCAAATGATCAAAGAACAAACTCCTAAATAATATACTGACCAGATACAACTGTGCTTAAGAAGGCAGAAACTGGGCTGGAGAGACGGCTCAGAGGTCAAGAGCACTGTCTGCTCTTCCAGAGGTCCTGAGTTCAATTCCCAGCACCCACATGGTGGCTCACAACCATCTATCGTGAGATCTGGTGCTCTCTTCTGGCCTGCAGGCACACATGCAGGCAGAAAACTGTACACATAATAAATCTTTGGGGGAAAAAGAAGGCAGGAACCACTTGCTGCAGTCAGAACATATGAGAGAGTGCATGAAGAGCTGCAGAATTCTTCCCTGTTTCACTGTGGTGACTACATTCAGCCTTGATCAAAGCCAACACTTTCAGCACTCATTAGACAGAATGTTAACTACACTTCAATAAGGATTAGCCACAAGAGCAAACACAAAGAGCAGTGTAACATGAGCTCATGTGGATGCCACCATTACATGAGATAAATGCATCTCAAATAAAACTGAATGATATGTATGCAGACATGGGGGAGAGAGAGACCGACAAGAGACAGCACAATCTTGAGTGCTGGCCTTGAACTCAGAGATCCAAAAGCCTCTGGGATTAAAGGCATGTACCACCACACCCAGCTTCTTCTATTTTTAAGACAGGTTCTCTTTGTGGCTCTGGCTGGCCTGGACCTGTTAGGTCTATCAGGCTGCCTTGAATTTGCTTTTCTCTGCCTCAGCCTCCAGGGCGCTGGAATCATAGGGGCAAGCCACCATATTCAACTTCATTCTCATGTCTGAATCCTAGTGCCCAGCACTTAAAAATGACAGATCCCACTGGGCAGGATGAACCAACAAAATCAGGCTAGCAGGCACCAGCACTGTGACATCAACAACTTCAAACTCTGGGACACACGCCTACCTCCAGAGAGACCCCGACGAGTAATTACAGATCCATACTGACCTCAACTATGGGTTAACAATCATTCCTCTCAGGAATCCTAATATAGAACAGCCTGATCCAACATACAAGTTTTATTTACACAGGGTGGTAGAACAAGCTACGTAAAATATCTTTCAACTTCTCAACTCAGCTTCTCCACCACCTGGCAGATATTCCAACAAAAAACTTAAAAAGATACATCAAATCTAGTAGCCTTCAAGTGTTGCTTTTTTTATTATTTTTTTTTGGGGGGGGGGGGCTGGAGGGCTTGAGACAGGGTTTCTCTGTGTAGCCTTAGCTGTCCTGGGAAGCACTTTGTAGACCAGGCTGGCCTCTAACTCCTTCTTGCCTCTTGGCTGGGATTACAGGCATACTCCATGGCATCCTGGTGGAATTATTATTTAGCACTCTATGCTTGAATTATAAAAACAACTCTAAAAATTACTAGTATAGCTCATTCCCTTAGTACATAGGATTGGATAAATCAGTGTTTAAAAAGTACTTGCTGGGAACTCAAAGCTATCCTAGGCTCCATGTGAGGCTATCCAAAAACAAAGCTCTAACAAAGAAGAACATCTAACACAGCTTTAAGCCCGCCCTTAGGTAGCAAAGGGAAGCAAATCTGCTAGTTGGAGGCCAGCTGGGACTACACAAGACCATCTCAAAACAAACACACACACACGCACAGACCTAGGCTGACTCCAGGAGAACAAGCGTGGGTCTTTAACTCTGTTTGGGTGGGAGCTGTTTTCACACACAGCACCATGGCCGCAGTGATGCAGTTTTTGAGACAGGGTATGCTATGGATGGAAGCCCAAGCTAGCCTCCACTTGAGACCCTCAGCCTCCACTGTCTGAGCTGGGATGGCAGGGACCTGCCTTACTGCAAGAACAATAATCTGACACACCCCTAAGAAGCTGGCTAGATTAAGAAGCTAAAGAAAATAGAAACAGCTTCTCTCAGAGTGATTCCACAGCAATAGACAGCAAACATTCTAAAAGCTAAACATAAATCTGGAAGGTTTTCATGCTAGGATGTACAATACCAACAGAGACGTTTCAATGTGGAATTGTCATGTACTTGAATACATTTTTTTTTTTTTTTTTCAAAACAGGGTTTCTCTGTGTAGCCTTGGCTGTCCTGGAACTCACTTTGGAGACCAGGCTGGCCTCGAACTCAAAGCAATCCACCTGCCTCAGCCTCCCAAGATGCTGAGATTACAGGAATACACCACCACGCCTGACAACTTGAACACATTTTTAATAAACGCTGACTATGTGAATAGTGAATAGTTCTGTTATCTATTTTGGTAAGGATTATTGCTTGCTATCCTATATTTGTTCTCTAACACGGAAATGGGTTAGACAAGTTCATGTAATCATCTTGAGTTCAAAGTGGGCCGGGAAGCAGAGAAGGCAACCCACACCATTAGCATACTTGGACCAGAAATGCTATCATGTTGAAACAAACAGCAGTTGCCAAAGAATGCCATAGGGACCTTCAAAGTCCACTCAATATTGAAGCAAGCTGGAAGTGCAAATGTTCCTAAAATAGTGTCTATGCAGTGACCAAGAAAGAAAAAAAGACTGTAGAAACCGTTGTACATACAGTACAAATGAACCATCTGTCACATGACTTTGACCTGTAACAAGTGGAGCGATGAGAGTCTCCAAAGCCAAACCTGCGCCAGTTTGGTGGCCTGCTGCCAAGCTCATCCACAATCACCTTCTACACACCATGAGACCCAGGAAACGCAAGAGATGCTCCACACTGCAACAGCACTGCCAAACAGAAAGGACCCGATTCTCCACGCTAAGGAATGAGCCATGTCTACAGCAGCATCTTGTACACTGAATACACTAAGCTCCGAGTTTGGCCTTGCCAACCATAA